TCCGACATAATGATTGTATGTTTTGTGAACATCGGTCGTCAGACTCAAGGCTTCCTTATCGGATGCCTTGATTTTCGTTTGCCGTGACAATCCAGTCTCTGCCTCGTTTATTTGGTTATTGCCGAGGGCATCAAGGCCCGTCCAGAGACGTCACGCGAAGACCCACATATGTCGCTGTCAGCTCCGCGTCTACTCGTTCCTAACCCTCACACGCCATATCAGCCGTTCGGCCTCGAATAGCTATGGCTTCCTTATCAGTGTCTGTTGGCTTTGTCCGTGTTGTAAAGGTGTTTGGCTCAACACCAGTCTCCAATACAACATCGGATTTTTACACTTCTTTCTGCACAGCGCGAGTTTAGGCGCGTGTCTGGTTTGTATTGCACTACATAGACGTGCAACGGTGGATGCCCTTCTTATTCGATGATCATAACCATCCACTTTCATGCATAAGCTTATGATGTTTTGGAGTGTTCGGAGCTTAGTTTGTAGATACCAACAAGATGAAATTAAAGCAGCGTCATACGAATGCTGCAATGTGCATTCAATGACCGATATAAGTTTGCAGTCCAGCTCTGGGCCTTCAGAATGTATACCATAAACCTTTCCCGAATTCCTAGCAGCAGTGGCGGCCCACTCTATCCATAACTAGCCCGCCGTTCCTTTGACCTATCCAACCGACGGTCAATTACTTCAACCGGCGGCCCATTTCGGAAATGGCTCAGCGTCTGGTCGTCGGCACCCATCTCGTTGGGTCTCGGTGAGGTTTGCGTTCCCGTCGCCGCAAAACGGAGCAGAGACGCAGTTCAGACTGTGACTGCCTTCCAAACTAACGGTGGATGCCTTTGGCCTTTTGGGGTTTTTAGTCTTTGATCGTGATCGATGACTTTGATCCTCCTTTTGATGTCTAATGAGTGGTTTTATTGCTTAGCTTATTTATTTTCATTTATTTTCGTTGGAGCTCTGCATTCAGAATGCCAGCTTCCAATATTTCTTTGAAGAAGTTGAATTTTCCAAATGGCAGCTAACCAAATGTTATAGGCGTATTGTTACAATCGAAGGCTATGTGGAGATAAGTTTCACGACAATGAGCCAACCACCTTACCTACCGGCTCATTGTACTTATCGGTGCTATAGCTCGTGCGTATTTATTATTACTGATTTGCTATCCCTACCCTCGCTGACCGCATTGTGCACGTAGATAACCAATTATTGTTCTTGTTTAGCCAGGGGATTCCCTTCACAGGACGCCAGGTATAACGATTGTATCGCTAGCCTGAGCGTTAATCAAAGGCACCGGTTCCGGTCGCAAGCGATATTTGTCGTAGGTTTTGTGCTAGCTAAATTAATTGAGTGACCTTTCACTCGTGTGACTTATTGAATGAGAAGGACGAAATTGGTCGTTTTAGCCGGCATACAATATCTTGAATTGTAGGGATAATGAGATCTGAAACTTTGGCCAGCCCGTTTATATACATACGGCACGCGCAAATATCCAGATTTGTCGCACAGTTTGTTTGGCAGGAGGGGCCAATACGGTGCCGCTGTACAATGCTACACAAAATAGTTCTTTTTGCATTTCCTCGGTATGGAAGTTGATATGAACAGGGAGCTGATTAAAGGTAGTCACATCTGGAATTTTGAAAATGAGCGGTATCTTCATGAGGGAAAAAGGAGATGCATCGTGAAACTCGTAAGTTGGTGCCTATGAAAATGGCGGCTACAAATGTGTCAAAATGGATCTTTGTTCACCATTCAACAGCTTAAAATTTGGGTTTCTGCAATTCATTTCACACGATAGCTAAAAATACTTCTGACAGCCTCGGCTAAGAGAAATATTTTCTTTGGGAGGCAATTTCCGCACGGTCTGGGAAACGTCACTGTCACTCTCTGGGTAAATCGAGCTCGTTCGGCCAAATTAGAAGTAGCTTATTCGGCTGCTGCGAATCTACAAACTCAACTTTGACTTTGCAAGTCTAAGTTTAAAGTTCGTCGCTAATTTAATTTGAATTGCTTTCAAACCATTGCATGTAACTGCATCATTAAATTTCATCATGTTGTTATTATTGTATGCATTCTTAGCACAGTCATCCCAAATGGGATTGCAAAAGTAGGTACCTAACCTTTTTACGCACTCAACGATAAAGTTGTGATGCTTCTACTTAAATTTTTCTTAAATTTCAGCACCATCCTAAGGTATTTAAGATGGTGCTGAAACAAAACAAATTTTTATATTTTTTCGGATAAATTTTAAAGTGTAGTTTCCGTAGGATTTTTCCACATTTAACAGTGTACTAACTTAGCGTCCGTGCAACAGCGACAGTCGTGGGCACCATGAGTCTCCCATTCCGATCAAAAGTGAAATTCGATTGGACCGACTCGGATTAGGCGTAGGGTGCGGCTGATGAACCGCTGAGCCCCTGCCGCTGCCGGCGCGGACCGGACCGGGCTGTTCATCCTTCACCGGCGCTCGACCTTCCGTTGCCTTTCACTGGGGACTACTGTCTTCCGCAATCCCATCTGGGATGGCTTCCGTGAAGTAATGGGGACCGGCGACCGAGCGCCGGCGGCGGCACGAACCGCGTCCGCGTGTGCGGAAACGGCACACCGACCGCGGAATGAAACGCGGGGTTCAGCGTTTTGCGATGTGTTCGTTCTCATTTTTATGATAGAAATGTTTTTTATGATGATTCTCTTAATGATGAGATATGGGTGTTGCAGCGCAGAACAGTTGATCAGATTCAGAAGTTCAAATATAATCTGAGCCGCTAGAGAACTTGGTACACTCGCCACGCAGGATATCAGCTCAGGCAAACGTCTAACGAGCTTGACGTGACCCTGGGTCAGATATACCTATGTCTACCTACATGCAATTTGACATGACGTTATCAGTGACATGATTGAACCACAACGGAAAATGTTAGGCTAGCCTTACTTTTCATTAAGAAAAGAATATCCTACTCTTGGTCCCTTGACTGATAATCGATTTATTCCACGCTCCAACGCCGCCAGCCTGGCAACTGGTGTTAGCACGTCTCGCCCGCGGCCCGTCACCCAGGCCGGGCTGGCGTGTTTCCGCGTCTCGCAAAGCCTTCCGATGACACCGGGCGGCGTCTATTCCTGGCGAGAAATGGGCCGATTCGGCGCGCTCAGTTGCGGATAGTCGCCGCGGCGCCGCCGGTTTACTGGGCTGTCCCGCCGAGTGGCTGAGTTAGGGCACTCCTCACTGTGGAGTGTTGGAGTTTGTGTATATCTGAATGGATGTCGGCCGGCTGCTTCGCTGTGAGGCTGATAGCTTTATGCAGCGTTTAGGAATGATAGTGTTTTGTGCTATGGGGTGCTATGAAAACATTCGAACAGGACTTATTGCTGAGAATAACAGATGCACCCCTAGTTTCTGGACATAATTCGTGCCGCTATAACTTTGGTGTTTGAATCCATATGCTGCAACCATAGCTAACAAGGTTGACAAAAGTGTAAGATCTACAGGGTGTCCCATAAGTTCGTTCTCACCTTATATTTGCATGTAAAACAGAGTACATTGCGTTTTGATATGTTTATAATCCCGCAATGTGCTCCCCATTTCATAGGCAAACATATGAATACATGCTGCGACATGCCAACCGGCATGTTTGGCAGCATAGCAGGCTTAAAGTTAGCCCAGACTGACTTGGCATGGGCCGTGAGCTCCTCAATGCTGGAACACCGCTTCGCTTCGACGAGCCTCGATTTCAATATTCCCAACACATTTTTATGAAATTTGGATCCGATGAGTTGCCTGGGATGTGATCTTGCCACAGACGCCTATCACAGTCTCCTGGCACTGCTTCTAAGCTTTGCTTGACCTGTGCACTGATGCACTGTCTTGCTTGAAGATGGGCCTACGACCTCCCGGATGCCATTTTCTCCTAAAAAAAAATGTGGTCATACTTGCGGTTCGAGTTAAGCTATAAGGCTGAAACTCCTCCTAGATCTTCTTGGAGAAGCATTCTGCGTCCCAAGACTGTTTGTGGAGTATCAATCGCAACGTGATCAGTGTCTGGACGCATATTACCCCACATTACCGTGACCCTGGCCTTTTGCATAGGAATAAAGCGGGATGACACAAAGGCCTTTTCTGTCGCCCATATGGGACCGTTTTGGGGTTTGGACGGGTGTTTTATCTCGAGCACGGACGAGGTAGTCCAGATGACCACATTGATGTCATCGGCCCTCCAGTTTTTTTAGCCTCAGGCATAACGAAACACTTGTTTGGCCATTTTAAGACGTTTTTGACTGTTTTGAGCCCTCCGGTAAGTAGAGCTTAAGTCACCTTGAGTTAGGTACCCTGAAATGATACTCTTAGACAGCTGGTAATGCATCCTGAAAAGCATGTTTACCAACTTTCTAACGCTAAGACCTTTTTGACGGCCATTTTGGCGCCACACAGTTTTGGCCACATGGCTCACTCGTGAAAGCTGACAAAAAAAGAGCACAAACTTGCAGCGATTGACTCCCGACAAATCATCGGCGTCACTTGTTGACTGTGCGTCCAGTTAGCGACAGACATTGGCTACATACTGGATGGCCTCAATCACCCTCAACCGTTGTGAATGGCCCAGTGCGGACTAAATACCGAGACGTTCCCGTATCGGAGACCTCTATGTTGCGGCGTAAGCCGTCTCCACAGGAAGTGAACTCTCTGGCAAAAAATATTTTGTCTAGACGAATTAGTTACCGTGGAGCACATTCACAGTTGCCATGGCAACCCCAAAAGCTCAGTTAAAAAAATAAATTAAGCGTGGCTTTAAATAAGAGAGCCTCTAAAAGAAAAATTTAGGTGAGAAGGAACTTATGGGACACCCTGTATACATTTCTATAGGCGGTCTGTAACCCGCGTGAGCTGAGGGATCATGAACTTGTTCGGGGCCTCCGGGTCTCCACTTCACAGTCTGATCACGCATACGCTCTTGCGCGTCCTCTTTAGTGACATCACATCACACGCTCTCCCTCTTCTTCCCCAGTCGTTGGAGAGGATGGAGCTGAAGCTGAAGACGAGTGACATCATCTGGCCGGGCGGCAGCAACGTCAAGCCGGACGGCGTCAAGATCCCGACGCACCTCAAGGTGCTGACTCTGCAGGAGCAGCCGTTCGTCTACAGCCGACGTTTGGAGCGCGGCCAGAAGTGTGACGACGCTGAGACGCGCTGTCCGTGGCACAACACCACAGGCGGTGAGTACGAGGAGGTGGATGTGGTGTCCGCCTTCAGGCTGTCGCGCTTTGCTGGGTAGGATGATGGGGATGTGACGCCCTTCTTCGGGCTGCGGCAGTATGTTGTCGGTGTCGACTGGAACATGATCCGGAATGCATGGGTAGATGGCGTGGGATGCAAGAAGTGCGTTAGTATGTGAAGACTTCTTGTTGCTCAGGTGGCTAAAAGTGTTGATACGAGAGGGAAGGGAGAGCCAAATAAAGAGAAAGGGAGGGAGCTGGGAGAAAGTGAGGAAAGAGAACCAAACACTAACGGAGAGGGAGATATAAATGGCGCCGAATTCGGTGATTTAATGCTGAAGGTGGCTGCATGATTTCACTCACCTAGCTACTTAAATGAGCTAATTTGTTCTAAAGCCAACACCGAAAGGCATTCATTTAGGCTTTAACGCTTTATTCAAAGACTGAACTAAGTTCCATGACGAGGCTAAAAGTTGTCAGTGTTTGAATTGGATGCCAGGGCCCCGCGGCGTATATTATCTGAATGGCTTCGGTCGGAAGTTTTACCTACACCGACCAGCCGCCCCCGCTCTTGTTCACATATCAACGTTCCCGAATGAGCAATTCTTTATTACGACACATCAATCTCTTAGTGACAGACTAACTGCTGAACCAAAATTGGATGACCATACTGTTAAAAGTCACAAACCATGCAACGACTCAGCAGCTTCATAAGCTTTTAAATCTCCCTCTCCTATCTCCTCTCCCTCTCCCCCCCCCCCCTCTCTCTCTCTCTCTCTCTCTCTCTCTCCCTCCCTCCCTCCCCCCCCCCTCTCTCTCTCTCTCTCTCTCTCTCTCTCTCTCTCTCTCTCTCTCTCCTACACACCCACGCTGACAACCGGGACGACCTCGTCACTCGCTCGGGTTCGGTCCAGCTGAGCTTTTCTCACATCTCCATCATTGATCTCATTACCGCCGTCGTCCCCCACTTGTGCGCCATCTGAGCAGCTCCCAAAGTGCGTCTCGCTCTCAGCTTCCGCCCCGTTGCCCAACGCAGGCGTGACCCGATATACTGCAGCTGGCACCCTCGCCCCTCTCTTCTCTCCTATCCCTCCTCCCTCCCCCCCCCCCGCCCCGGCCCGCCCGCCGTACTGCTGTCAGTCTTCGTATCACGCCCTGTGCCGGTGTTAGCGGAGGTTCGGTCAGTGTGCATGATTCTGCTGTTCCATATCTTGGCGCGGTGCCAGAACGTCAGACCGGTCAGCCAATCCGATAGGGTGCCTATCGTTTCCCGGAATTGGGGCCGATCGAAAAACAGGGGCCGGCTGGCCAGCGGCATAAAAAGAGACAAACAATTCCGAGTAAATGTGCCGACGTCGCATTCGCATTTGTTTTTGGGTGGTCGTTATTGCAGAGGAATTGGGTGGATGCTGAGTGAACTGTTCATTAAAAGATCACACAGACAATAAGATCAGCACTGAGCTTCGTTTGTTCGGGCGGGACTGTTCTTGATAAATTTGGGGATCTTCTTGCCAGCTGCTACGCGGATATTTCATCTTTGTACTCAGGCTAGAGCTTTATTCATAACGATGAACGTCTTTGTGCTATTTTTAGCATCCTCAGCATTCCTCATATCTCACATGAAATCCACTGCACGTTCCCGTTTCCTATCTAAACCAGACAGATCGGGTTCTAAAGCGGACGCAGAATGATATTAGAAAAGTATGTGTGGTGACAGCTGCCGTTGTTTTTCTTTGTCGCTATATTGCGCTCAATACGATTTGTAGGTCTGTGTAGTAAAGAGGAGCTCGAGGTGGTTAAAAGCCGTCTGTCGACGGTTTTTGTAGAGTGTTACCAGGCTCTATATAGACTAGACTACCACAGCTGTAATCCATATGATAAAACGGCGAAGGAGGCTGCAACCTTTAAGGTCTCTTCACTCTCAACGCAACTCTGTGCTCGATATGCATGTTTAGAAATGCTTCATTGCTGAGGTATTCACACGATTACAACACTATTTATTCATTATTCAATACTATTTTTTAATGGTGAGGACTGTCGCCTTGCGCCTACACACCTTACATTTCCGCATGTTTGCCGACAGAAGATGTCGAATTCTGCTGCTGGGGCTACTGCATAGACCTGCTGAACAAGCTGTCGGAGCGTGTCAACTTCACGTTCGACCTGTTCCTCTCTCCTGACGGCGAGTTCGGCGACTACGTCTCCAGGAATGTGTCAGGTGAGGCGTAGTCGCAATGGTTTGGCTCTATATAGTCCGTGTGTGTGTGAATATGTCAGAGGCGGATGGTAAGACCAGACGTATGTAAGTGCATGGGCCTGGGACTCGTGGGACTTCGTGGGGATGGAACTGCTTGACAGTCAGCTAAAGTTTCTCAGTTTTCAAGGTTCTCTCAACTCAAGGCTCAAGGTTTAAAGTAGAGTTCTGCCCATTTTACAGCTGTGGTAGCTGTAAAATGGGTGCAAAGTCTGGCTTTACATTATGCTCAAACATATCATCGCTCGCCTACAACTGCTGCCCGTTTGTTTAGTTTCCCAGCTCCCTGAAGGCTGTTTCAAACTTGGTTCCTTTTCCTTTTGGTGTGAATGGTCGCTAAAAATCTCTGAAAACATTATAGTTAGATGAAGTTAAGTAAAACATCAATCGCCTCATACCATGAATACAATTTAATCTTTCAGAACCGTTTCATAAAATATGTAAAACTTCCTCAAAAGCTCGAGGTTATTTATCCGCCATTTTGCGTTGTTTCTCACCCGGAGGCGTTAGCAGCCTGCCCAAATAGGCGCTGCACGGTGTCTGCCTGCCCTGTTTATGTTGTCATATAGCGCGAGATGACTGCACTGAATCCAGACAACGGGGCGACTATTGCGCCCGCGCCCTGTTAACACCATGCCCAGTTGTTGGCCATAACAAGCACCTGCACGTGCGAAATGGGAGCCATGCAGACGTCATACATCCGTTCTATGTCCTTTATTTGGACCGTATATATTCACTCGTTTTTAGGTTACTCATATTAGAAGTTGGACGACAATGCAGCAAATTCAACGTTACTTAGGCTGTTATTTTAAGCATGATTTCAAATCCCTGTAATGCTATATGATATGTAATGCTATACAATCCCGCTCGATCAACCGTATAGATGTCGATGCCCTGAACTCTGACCTGATGTTTGCCGATTGGGAGGGCGTGTTTAGTGCCACGAACGTAAGTGACCAGTGGGATGCTTTCCTGACCGAATTTCTGCCGATTTTTGACGATCACGCACCTATAAAGAATATTACCATCCGTAATCCTACAGCACCACCAGTTACCCCCGCCACACTTAAAATCATGGATCAACGTCGTACCGCGTTACAGCAGTTCGGTAGAAAGTCGGAGGTTTACAAAGACTTAAACCGAACTGTCCGGGCCGCAGTGCGACGAGACCGTCGCGGCGAACTTCACAGAGAAATTAGTGGGCGGGGTCCCAACAAGGTGTGGAAAAGTATTAGGTCGGTTGTGGCTGGTAAGAAAGACGGACCTAGTGTTCAACCTGATGTATCGGCTGACGTTTTAAATTCTTTTTTCGTTTCTGTGGGTCCCCGCGTCGCTACAGAGATCCGTGACCAAAATCCAGTTGTTGAGCAAATTGGCCGTTTGCCGCGTGTCGTAACCGGTAGATTTAAGCCCAGACCTATCTCTCTCGGTGAACTTGGTCACACCGTTTTCAATATGCGCAATTCTGCCGCCTGTGCGTCTGATGGCGTCTGCATTCGCATGCTGAAAACTGCTTTCCCATCTATCGGTGACGTTATCCTTCACATCATTAACACTTGCATCTCAAGGTCCGATATCCCCTTTCATTGGAAACACTCTATAGTTCACCCCATCTTCAAGTCTGGAAACCCATCTGATCCCACTAATTTTCGACCTATCTCCTTAGTACCTGTCATTATGAAGGTGGTCGAGCGAGTCATTCACAAACAGCTCTATCGCTATCTCTCCCAAAACCATCTTCTGGCCAATACCCAGCACGGTTTCCGACCCCGGCACTCAACTGAGACAGCACTTCTGTCCGTCAGTGACCAAATCCTGGCCGCCACCGATAGGGGGATGTCTCTATGCTATGCCTTATTGATTTAAGCAAATGTTTTGATGTCATCAACCATGAGTTATTACTCGCTAAATTGGCAATGCACGGCATAGAGACATCCTGGTTCGCCGCTTATCTCCAGGGTCACACACAGAGTGTGTCATTGAAGGACGAGTCCGGTCGCCGGGTATTATCACAACCTCTCCCCAACTCTATGGGCGTCTTTCAAGGCTCGGCACTCGGTCCCTTACTCTTCACGGTATTTTCCAATGATCTATCACTTTATTCTGAGGATGCAGCAGTCTTCCAGTACGCTGATGATACTCAATTGTTGGTGAGTGGCCCTTTAAACGACCTTAGGGGACTCATCTCGCGCTTGGAAGCGTCACTGGCGTCTCTCGACCATTGGTTCAGTGCAAATGCTCTTAAAGTAAACACGGCTAAAACTCAGCTCATGGTTCTCGGCAGTCGGCAAAATTTGAGAAGCATACCTGCTTTCACCGTTTCTTTTCGCGACACCAAACTAGTGCCATGCAAGCAGGTGGGCAACCTGGGCGTTATTTTCGACGGCACCCTGTCCTGGGACGCGCATGTGTCCGAGCTCAGTCGCCGATGCACGGGTCTCCTAATTGGCCTCTCCCATGTCCGCCACTATCTCCCCGACGGTGTCACCAAGACACTAGTGGTGGCTCTCGTCATGTCACGGATCCAGTACTGTCTCTCCGTATTTGGTAATGGTAGCCAAAAGAACTTCGATCGCATTCAGAAAATTCTTAACTTTGCCGCTAGAGTCATTTTCGGTCGCCGTAAATTTGATCATGTCTCCCATCTCCGGGACCAACTCGGCTGGATGGCACCTAAAACAATGGCTGAATACCATACCCTTATCACGGCGCACAAGGCCATCCAGAGAGGTGAACCCGAGGAGATCGCGACCCTATTTTCCAAAAATTCCCAAACACGAGCAAGGTCTACTCGCCAAGACCACCTTTTCCACTTACCGCGACCCCGACTAGAGACCGGAAAACGTAGATTCGCCTACCGTGCCGCGGCGCTCCTAAATACTCTCCCCCTCGAGCTAACGCAGTTGCCTCCAGCCAGATTTGCCCGTGCTGTAAAAAAAGGGGCTTAAGCCTAGCCAGAGTAGCCATAGTAGCTAGCCTCATGACTCTTGGACTATGAAAGGCAAACGAGTCTGTGTGTACATAGTTATGAACGCGGCTTCGTGCGGGTTACACCAAGTATGTGCGTGTTCGGCGTTCGCGTTGTGTATTTCATATCCGTAAGTGTGTGCGTTTTCTTGTGTAGGTACCTATTTCTTGTGTTATCTTCAACCAGCTCGGACTCGGAGTGTAATCGCCACGCCGATTGTGGATTGCTCTTGATCGTCAATACATACATACATACATACATACATATGTTCTATATGATGAAATATATGATTTGTTCAGTTTCGCCTCCTGTTCTTCGCTTATGACATCCATATTTTTTGCTCTCATTGTTTTCCCTTCCTAATATCTTCGTTTTTTTTAAGTTTTGATAGCATACATATTTGTTAACCCTCTGTTCTTCGTAAACACCGATCATCGCGATCATGGCTGCTATGGAACAGCAACAGCATGAATGTCTACGGTACTTTTGGGGAATCCAGTGAACTTCCCCGTCCTCCATAAACATGTTTGACGGATTTATACTGGCCGGATGTGTCTGACCCGTCGGTTGGTCACAAATCGGTGTTTTATGGCGGTGCAAGCTGCAGCCTCTGTGATGTGTGCTGCTCCGCTTTAATAGTGACATATATAGCGGCTTTGGGCCCTGGTGAGAGCCATTAAGTCCTTTGAACTCCAATGCGATTCAGCGACTTATGCTGGGAAGGTCATCTTACAGCCACCCATCAGCCGATTATTGCACCCGCGCGCAGTCTCTTCCATTGAAGTTCGGCTGGTCCGAGCGAGCGATCGCGTTCGTCGGACTGACTTCATTCAATTTCAACTCTGCCGAGTGCTCTTGAGCTCGGCACACCTGAACGCTTAATGACTGGAGCTGAGGGCTATCGTGTTTTAAACGATTCCCGAAAGCCAAGTAGTATACTGCGTTTTATTCTCGTGTGTTCTAGCAGTTAACCCTCAAATCGTTCGCAGAACTGGGTGATTATGTGCTATTCAAATCAGTCTATTCATCCTGTCAGCGGGGATTAACACCAGAAACTATAGACTGTAAATGGAGCGTGTTTTGAATTCGTCTCCATAGCTGAAGCAAACAGGTCGGTTCTCTGTGTGGCCACTGTCAGCTAATGGCGTACAAAACACTGTCACCGCTGTGGCTGCTTCAAACAGGCGTAAAACACGCAAAGGAGGAGACGCACCATAAGAGCATCATTGTGGCATGCTCCAACGATACCAAAGCACCCACAACAAAGGCAAACACGACCGTCGGGCACAGCTGCCGCGCACAGACCAGTCCACATATTGTCCGCGGCGCGGCTAAGCGCGGTCCCACATTGTCTCTTTGTTTCCGTGGCACACCAGCGTCCCGGGCTGCTGTGATGGTCGCCGTGTCGGAGGCTCTCGGACTGCCGCCAGTGCCGGATACGGCCTCATTGACGGTGTTTGAGACTGAGCTGTGACCGGACTACGAGTCACCGAACGGCCGGCGTGCGATGACCACGGCCGCGCTATCACGTACCGCCGGGCGCCGAGCCGAGATTCGAGCGTCGTTCATCGCCGCGCCGCGGCGCCGGACGCCATTTGTAGGCCGCTGGACGCCCGGCCCGGCGGAGTGGATCCCGTCTGCAAATTATCAGCGCAGGGAGGATGGCCTCCTTCACCGGGAACCCGTCCCGACAGGCTTTTGCAGCGCTACGGTGGAGAGATGCTTGGCGAGGCTCCTGAAGAGACGTGTTTAGCCAGGCGGCAGCGGTCGATGGAAAAGTAGCAACGCACGCATGATGTGAGCTAAATGTGGCTGGGTTGGATCAGATGAACCGTGTCGTCGCCGACGCTATAGCAGTAGCAGAGGCTGCGACAGGAAGGATTGTACAATACACATGCCAGTATATGGTTGTTGAATCATCTCAACCAATGCGTTTTATAATTGATGCGACATTTTCCGCACCCAAGTGTGAAACTCACCGGTGCAACTGCTGAAAATGCCTCAACTACTATTCAGCATGCCCAATAAATTAGCCGGTCACAAGCCTGCCGTTTCTTTGACCTTTCTGTATGGCAATTTATGAGCGCTGCGCCGTCAGCGTTTCTCATTTCGGACATCGGCAGTGCCATGGCAGCGCTCCGGCTCCGGCGGGGCCGACGGGGCGGCTGGCCGGTCGATTTTTCTCGCCGGCCGGCTCGGGCAGCGGCGGCGGCGGCGAGGTGTCGGCCCCCGGCGACCATCAAAGCGGAGGCCGGCGGCACTTGAAATGGACCGGACGTCCGACCGGCTAATGGAATGTTTCCGAGCGGCGTGCATTCGTTCTGGGTGAACGTTTCGCATGACACTGATGAAGACCAGTGGCGGCGCCGGTCGCGGCGCTAAGGCGAATCGGTCAGGGTGTGAGCCCCGTTACGCAGAATCGCGCCCAGGTGCCGGCTGTGCGGAGGTGATTTAGCACCGAGCGCGGCCGCCAGCTCGCTCAACTTATACAGTCGTCTCTGAGGGATTTGGCCGGGCTGAGGCTGTTGGAACTGTCCCGACTCGGAGTCACTGCTGGGACGAAATCCCGTCTGGTGGCCTGAAAACCGGGCTGCTGTCCTGCGGCTGAGTTATGGGACTGTTTGAAGTTTGCTGACTAAAGGCTTGTGGTGCTGCAACCATTGGCATTTGTATAATTAGTGGAAAATGTTCAGACGATTTTGTTATTTATTTAATTTACTCCGTCGTTCGTGGGTGGCTTCTATCCAAATTCAGCAATAGGCGCCCAGCCGTTGCTCTGATTATGTTAAAAAGCTGACGAATGCGTCTATTGGATGTTGATTATTGCTGATAGCTGCTACCCTCGAACACTCAACTTCATCCAACTATTGAATTCTCTGAATGGTATACATCGATTAGATGCATCTATATTAATTTACGTATCGTCAGCCTTGTCCGCCGCCTGGTGGGGGCTGGCGGGTCTGCCCAGCTGTTGTATGTAATGTTTACCGGCTCTTCCTAATCCCACCGCCCTCCTCCGTCCCTCCACCGCCTCCGCCGCCGGCCTCCGCTGTTGCTGCAGCTGCCCCACTGGTATGCAGCCGTCATTGCCCAGGGTCTCGGGGGATGCCGGCCCTAATGTCGGCGCGAGCCGGCCAGCCATATCGACTCCGCCCCGCCCCGCACACACCGTCCCAGCCGGGCTACATTCGGGCCGAAACGGCGGCCGCGCCCGGCGCCACCGCGATTGGCCGAATCAGGGCCGGCGACATATGCCAGCCCGGCTGCAGATATACAGAGCAGAAACAGAAGACAGCGCGCCGCACTGTGGCCCAGACGAGGCGCGGCTTGTTAGCGGCATGGGTTCGGGGAATTGTGGTGTAGCCACTGTGCTGATTGGATACTGCGTCGGTAAAATATAACTCATGTATTTGGAAGAAATCATTTCGTTTTGTTGGAATTCTGTTTATAAATCGTGTTGCTGATGATTTGTGAGCTGTCACCAGCGATGTTCGTCCTGTCACCGCTGTGGCCACGGGGACAGGACGTTATTCGCTCGTGTTCAGGCTCGCTTGTGGCCAGTCCATCTTCATTAGCGTCACGGCTTCGGTTCTGAATGGAGCGGCCATTGATTGCCGGCGGACAACATGCAGACGAGATCGCATTGTGCTGGCGTCTCGTCAGTCAGCTGCCGGCTGCCTGCTTGTAATGACTGCACGCTCATGAAATATTCAGTCCGCTCGACCTCTGGCGCAGCCCGTCCGGCCTCGCGTTCAGACGACGGGCTGATCAGGTCGCGCTATATTCTCATAACCTGATGAGATCGTGATAAATTTATAAATTACATAGAGTTGATTGATTTTGCTTGACAGTGCCGTCATAGTTTTGGAGTTTTTGCTCGTTTTTGTTTTGTTTTCATTTAAAAATAATAATTTTCATTTATAAAACAGTCCTTTACGTTATGTGCATTTCCTACGATTGTAATTTTGGGTGTTATATGTATAAATGTTGTTATTCATTTCGGTTTTGATCTCGTTTTGTCATATTTTTCGCTTTTCTAGGCAAGCTGACCCAGTATGACCTCGTGTGACCCCGGCACCGCCTCTGTGTGACCTCAGGGAAGAAGGAGTGGACGGGTATGATTGGTGAGCTGGTGAGAGAGCGCGCAGACATGATCGCAGCCCCGCTTACCATCAATCCGGAGCGGGCAGCCTTCATCGAGTTCAGCAAACCGTTCAAATACCAGGGCATCACCATATTGGAAAAACGGGTGAGTGACCCTCCGGGGCATGTGAGTGTCAGATCTACTTATTGGATTAGATGCGTCATTTCGGAGAGTGACATTCGCGTGTCATGCTTCGAAGTATTTCAGAATACGTTGTATGCAGGGCATCGAGTGGAGTAAAATTGCCTCATGTATATATTAAGGGAGGGCTCAAGATGGATGAGTATAATTGGTCTTGCACTGTCCAACAAGAATGCAATTGCTTTCGGCTTGGCATGTGCGCACCAGCGTGGTTTTGTAACCCCTAGTCACCGGCGAACATTTGCTCATCGTAATTGCCCAAGCCCGAGTGAGGATGTACCCTCTCTAGTCTCCGCCCACTAATTCAGAAAGTTCTATTTGAAATACGTTGTGCATCCATACTTACAAAATTTTCTTGAATGCATTGGTGCATGTAAATATATCCATTTGAGTAGGTACTTTTCCTGATAAATGAAATAATGTCTGAGAATAACTCTGTCATCGTGATTTAGCTTCATTCATTCTGCAAGGATGGATCATGCCTGCTGAATATCAGCACACCATGTGGTCGTCATAACCGACCAACTCAAATCACTCGAACTCAGGACACCCTAATTTCATGCAGTCCTGGCTTCATTGGTGATTTATGAGGATTATACCGCCGACATTTTAATGATTTCCTCCAGATTTTATAATGCAGACGGGTGCTTATTAATCTGCGCTGCGTTGCATGTCAAGTTAATTCCTTGGACTGGTTGGTGAAGGCACAAGTTCTGGGTACAGGGAAATAAAGATTGTGCCAGGCGTGCTCGGCTGGACTTCTGTCACGTATCAGCTCAAACTTTTGGTAACTTGCATATTGATTATGGACCTTTCTTTATAGTCCCCACAAAGTGACTTCTTTACTTCGCTATTTATTTTTATTGAGTTTTAAAGCGCCAGTTGTTTTGAGATTTGTTTACAAATATAATATTTCTTTCGTAAATTAGTCGTAATTTTCACCACGAACTCAACGACGCATTAAAATACGACGAAGCCGCTGAATAATAGGTAGAGCGTTATTGCTACGGGCTCAGATATCAATAATCCAGAAGGCATTTTTCTGCCTTGTGTTACGTCGTTCTAATAGATTTCCAGCTCCTCAGCATCCGATCAATGTCGGTTATAAATTTGCTGCCGATCTAGCGTTAAACCCTCTTGCTTTTGACCAGCTTATTACAGGAAAGATTCAATAAAAATGGGATAAATCCCGGTGCCATTTCTTAGCCCCTATTAGTATTTACCTTAAGTAGGTATTTACCTTAAGTAAAGGTCATTAGATACCCTTTCGAGTAATAAGACCCTTTACTCAAGAGGCGCCTCCTCCTCTTCTGATGAAGACGAGTTGGCTGCCATGCTTGTTGTCGCCATAAAATGACGACCACTGTTGTTAGTGACAGTAGCTACTGTTGTTAATACGATGAGTAGCCACTCTTGAGCATTAGAAGGAGAAGTTGTAGTTAAACTTGTCGGGGTGGTCCTTCCATTCTTTCCCAAGTCTGAACTTAAAAACATCGACATTTGGTGCTTCAATAGTGTTCCTAGACAGCTTGTTCCACGCCCGAGTCACTCGTGCCGCGAAGAAGGCTTTCCTAGGTCCCAACTGATGCTGAACCTGCAGCTTTTGACCATGACTTCGGGTGGTATGGCTAAGAGAGTTCTTGAACATGCTGTTGCAACAACACGAGCACTCTCTTTGGTAGTTCAACGTGTCGAAGCCTTTTAAGATTTTGAATGTCTCGATAATATCTTATCTTTGCCTTCGGAATTCAAGGGTAGGCAAATTGAGGCTTCTGAGACGATCTGAGTATGACAGGTGAGACAGCCCCTTCACCAGTCTCGTTGCCCGCCGTTGCACCTGCTCGAGTGCGTCTTTATCCTTCTTAAATTTGGGGCTCCATATAACAGCGGCATACTCAAGATGGGGTCTCACGATGCTCTTGTACAAGGCTTGAAAGACATCACTGTCAATGTTTGCAAAGGTATGTTTGATGACTCCGAGAATTCTATTGGCCTTGTTAACCTGGTTCATGACATGTTTTGAAAATGATAGTTTCTTGTCAATAGTAACTCCTAGGCCTTTTTCTTCACTGACTGCTTCCAGAGTGTGATTGTCTCCATCTATAGTAGTCATAGTATATTCTTTTTCAGGATTAGTTGATCCTAGATGCATGACCTTGCACTTCAGTGGATGGAATAGCATCTGCATTGTTCTTGCCCAATCCTGTATAGAGTTTATGTCCTCTTGTAAGCCATTTGAATCATCAGACTCGTTGACGACTTGATAGACTTTCGTATCGTCGGCAAACATGGAAATGAAACAATTTAACAGGTCGGGAATGTCACAAACAAACATAGAGAACAAGAGAGGTCCGAGGACTGAGCCCTGTGGCACCCCGCTCGTTACATTCCCCCAATCTGAAAGCGATCCATTTACTTTCACCCTCTGCTGTCTGCCAGTGAGGAAGCTCCTTATCCATCGGCATGTTACGTCATCGACTCCCAGAGCCTTGACCTGGGCCAGAAGCCGTTCATGGGGCACAGTGTCGAAGGCTTTGGCATAGTCTAAAAATACAACATCCACAGGTAACTTGTGACTAAGCGCTTCTGTCCAAACATCAAGTGCTTCCAGTAGGTTTGTGATCGTGGATTTTCCCGTGATGAAGCCATGCTGTTGATGAGCGATAAAGTTATTTGTCTTCAGGTGAGTAATGATGTCTTCGCCAATTATCCTCTCCAAAAGCTTACATAGTATTGATGTCAATGAAACTGGTCGGTAATTTGCAGGATCACTTTTGTCACCCTTCTTAAAGATCGGTGTGACGATCGCCAGCTTCCACTGCAGGGGAATTTCCCCAGTTTCAACGCTTTTTCTAAATAATGCCGTGATAGGTGGCGCAAGCTGGTCCGCAAGTTCCTGTAATACACGAGGGTGTAACTTGTCCGGGCCTGGTGATTTATCGACCTTAAGTGTCTTCAACATGGCATTAACCCTCGCGGGCCCGGGGGGGGGGCGTTTTTCGCCCCCCCCCCCCCCTGGCGAATATTTGCGATAACTCCCGAACGCTTAGGGATAGGAAGGCGAAACTTTCAGTACCTTTTCTTCCATCAATTTGACATGTTCTGAAGTAAAAAATTTGGACCTAGCCCCCTTGATGACGTCACAAGGTCCATTTTTCTAGACCCCTGCACGGCAAAAATCGGCGTCACAGACGCAAACTTCAAATAGCTGCTAAAAATAGAGTTTTAGAGATAAAGACAAATTACGAGCACGGCTGTGTAGCGTTTGACCTAGAGAAAAATAGAAAAATAGTTTTGGTGACCTGAGGTCAGAGGTCAGGTCAACGACCCCGAAATGTGGTTTTAGTTTTTCGCAAATAACTTCGACAAAAATGGTCCTAGAGCTACGGCAGTGGTACCATCGCATTCGCCTTGTCAAGCCGCGTCGAATGATATATATTTTGTTCGGAAAAGGTCAAGTTTCATGTTGACCTCATGTGACCTCGAATGACCTCTGGTTGACCTTGACACATGAAAGGTCGTTTATGATGGATTTGTACCCGCTGATCACGAATCTGGCATCTATTTTCCTCAAAGCTTCGTTCAGAGCTTCCGGATGGCAAAATTGTCTTATTTATTATTACTAACTTGAATCAGTGAAATAGCCTCTAGCAGGGATACTCTTCTGTGACCTTGACCTTTGAGCAGCCTTGTATCGTAAGATGAACCACAAATAGGGAACTGATAAGCCTCAAAACATTTCAAAACATCTTGGAAGTTGGCACGCAAGATGTGCGAAAAAGTGCCAAGTTTGAGGTCAATTTTGAGCGTGACCTTGACCTTGACCTTTGATTTGGAACACATTTTCAGAATCCTCAGATTCTCTTCTTTCGTTTGACACCCAATTTTGCCGGTTTGATGCAGCCTGCCGTCCTCTAGAAGGCTTACTTTGAGATCACTACACATGTGTCGGTTTTGGCCTTTGACCTTGACCTCTGACCTTGAAAATTGACCTGAGGTCAAAAAATTTAGGTGCGTTAGAATCGTCTCGTAAGGACCTTTCGTTTGGTATCGCTTTTGTTTCCGTAGCTCCCTTATTTACGGAGTTAGACAGGGGGGGGGGGGCGAAAAACGCCCCCCCCCCCGGGCTGCGGTGGTTGGGATTACCCCCGGGCCCGGCCGGGTTAACTCCCTGAACAGTTATTGTAACTTCCATCTCTGACTCCAAGGGCTTCGATGCTATTGTTGGAATTGATGATACGTCCTCCTTTGTAAACACGCTCGCGTATTGCCGGTTCAATATGTCAGCTTTGTGCTTGTCATTACTCGTGAGTTCTCCATTAGCACTGCGTAAGTCAGATACACCGCATCTCGACTTCCTACGGCGGTTGACGTAGTTCCAAAACACTTTATGGTTACCTTTTACTTCTTCAGCCAGTTTCGACTCAAATTCCCGCCTTGCTTTCCTTGTCGCGTGAGTAGCTTCGTTTCTTGCCTTAACATAGCTCTGGTAATCAGAGACATCTTTATTGTTCAAAAAACGAATCCAGGCGTGCTGTTTCTTCTTCACCATCCTCAGAGCATTTCGATTCATCCAGAGGGGATATCCCCTTTTCGATTTTTTGTTAGGGTCAACCTTGGGCACATGCTCTTCTATCAGATCCGCGATCGTTTGTTCAAGTTTATCTGCCATCTCCTGCACAGATTTACCTTCGAACAATCCTTGCCAATCCATGTTAAGTGCTTCCCTCATATCTTCATAGTTGGCTTTATGGTAGTTCAGCACCGCACTCTTTCTTGCTGGAGCCTTTGGTGCAAACGACATAACAAATGAGATGCTGACATGGTCGCTTGCTCCAACCGGGTCACCAATGCTGAGTTGCTCAACCAACTCCCGCTCATTTGTAAATAGTAGGTCGTCGAGAGTAGCTCGCTGTCCATCCCTGTATCTTGTTGGCTCCGTCATATGTTGTAGAAGGTAGGTGTCGTGTATGCATTCTATAAACTTCCGGGCTGGGCTGTTCTGGCTGACACCTTCTGGAACTTCTGGGTCCGGGGTCCAAAATATTTCTGGGTGGTTGAAGTCCCCAACTATGACTTTGTGGGAATGATTTGAGGATGCCGCCCAACCAAACATTTTGTGGAGATCATGATCCAAAGGAATAGCTCTATTTGGTGACCCACTTCTATAGATCACCCCAACGAGCATACTGACCCCAGCCTGGGCACCAATTGAAATCCAGGTACATTAGGACCAAGCAGGTACAGTCCACAGCAGAAGTAATGTGGGGTTTCAGTCATGGGTATGTTCTGCTTCTGAAGCTTAGGAACGATTGACCAGACTACAATGAAATTTTGAATGTAGCTTATATGTATCGTCACCCTTGCAGCTGCAACTTAAGCTATTGACATCTTCTTTTCGATCACTCCGCATTAAACAATCGCCAGTCAAAGCCAACCGTTGAGATTGGTAAAACCCTACATTACTTTAGCGGTGGGCTGTACATTAGGACCTGCTTTTATATACATTTCAATAGATCTTTTTGTCTCCGTGTCATATGTGTTGGAAAAAGCAGACCTACAAAAATGTGTCATTTGCATGAATCGATAGTTGAGTTTCTTTGCTGTGCAACTGCAAATATTCTTGTTGAATGGTACGAATTGTCCAAATGTTTTGCTTGGTGAATCTGGAGTTTCTAAAAAGCCCATTACGGGCAGGGCATGCTTTACAAGCATTGGTGTCATTTTTGATTGATTTTTGACACAAGAAGTTCATGGCACACACGTAGAACCCAGTTATCTTCATATGTAGCATAACTTGAAATCTCACAAATTGGTTGCGCGTTGTTTTCAATAGTCGTGAAATCCACCTGACAAGGCTAGGACTTTAAAGCTGTCCATTCAAAGCCGAGGAGAGCTGAAGGATGCCTCTTTCGCCGATGAAATACTACAGGATACCTACCTACCCGTTCTCCGGATTGACCTGTGCGTGTCACACAACCCTGCACTCCTGGCCCCCTATCGTTTGATCGGGAACTTTCTGGTTGACAGCACTCAACGTTCATGTTTGTCTTGTCCCGCTTTGTCAAACACGACCTTGTGCTACGTTCTTGTTTACCTCAGAAAACATCATCTCAACAGTTAAGAACTGTAAGTAATCGTCTCTTACGAGTATGTTGTTTATATATCATAGCACGCAAAGAGGCAAATGAATATTCAATGTGAAAAAGATGCCTCTCTGTAATCAAACGAATGTATTTTCATTTCATTTTATTCAGTCCAGCCTAATGACAACTGACCAATCTTGAAAAGCTGAAAGCAATCCCCCAATGTCCCAGTTTCTCGAACCGGCCTCGGGAGCGCCGACGATCTCGCTGCTTTTAATTAGAATGACTTTTTACAGCTGTCGGTCATAATTTCCCCGACAGAGCCGAGGGCGGATCTTTGAAGGCGAGCCGGCTCTTCATTGGTATTCGGCCGTTAGCGCGAGGAGTATGTAGTTGAGGAGGTCTCTGGGGTCTTCCAATGCTGGTGGTGCAGGGAACTATGTCGCGGTGGAGGTCGCTTCTGCAGCGATATGCTAGGTGTTGAAGACATGACATTGCATTGGTCAATGGTCACCACAAGATAAACTTCATTGCTGGAGATCAACATTATTTTTAAAAAATTATTGAAGTAATAACAGAATAGGTTATTGATGTGCAGTGGTTTATGATGTTTATGTAAATACCTTCTGGAAGAATTGGCTATGTTTCATGTTAGACATTTCTTGAGACAATATCTGCATTTCCTGTGACATAGCGATATTTTGCAACACTTATATCATATATGTCGCATCCAAAGTACATTTTGCTGTTACGATTCAGCCGGCGGCGGATATGCCATATATCTCTACAGCTGTCTGGTCTTATAAGTGGTCAGTTTATCGCGAGTCTGCGGTAGTTTCAGGATCAACAGCAGACGTTGGCAGCCCGGCCGTCAGCTGATTTGCGGCCGGGGTCTTGGCTGACTACTGATTGGGACTAGGTTGTTGGGTCCACACCAAAGCTCTATAGCGCGCTACTGTAGGGGTAGCAAGAGTTGCTATTGAACAAAATGTCAGCTAAAAGGGATGTTTAATGCATTTACCCGCACTGTCTTTTCGTTCACAGTGGCCTGCTCTGAATCTATTGACACAGGTAGACGACGATAGTTACCAGTTTGACCGGCCGGGGCTGACCTAAGATCACTCGATTAGCCTGTTGCGATGTTTATACAACGTCTGCTCTCCGCCTGCGAATGCCGACTGGTGGTCAGGGTGTTGAAAGTTGACAAGATTGTGCTGCTACCTCGTACCATTGCACTGTATCAGTGGTTTTAAATCATTGTCATCTCGCTCCACCAATGTCATTCTCTTGCGCCGGAGAAAGGAACGGACCAGCCGCGTCCCTCGCAATCACCGTACTTTCTTACTGAGCGCTGACCCCCTCGCCCTCTCTTCCGGCAGCAACCGCGCGCCTCCACGCTGGTCTCCTTCCTGCAGCCGTTCAAGCACACGCTCTGGGTGCTGGTGCTGGTCTCCGTGCACGTCGTGGCGCTCGTGCTCTACCTACTCGATCGGTTCTCGCCGTTCGGTCGACAGGCGAGCAGGGACAGTGGAAATGCAGAGGATGACGCACTGAACCTGTCGTCGGCCATGTGGTTCGCCTATGGTGTACTGCTCAACAGCGGCATTGGTGATGGTGAGTGTCGGTGGTGGGGAGGGGAGAGGAGAAGAGGAGAGAGAAAGAGAAAGGGAGGAGATAGGGGGATTAGAGTAGGAAACGTGGGTGGAAGTTGTTAGGGAAGGGAGATAGCATCAAGAAGTTAATTGCTTAATTTAATGATGTCGGACAACAATGTAGATGTGGAAATGTGGAAATGTTTGACTGCTCTTGCATTGTTCTGAGTTAATCTGATGAATAGAATTGAAACATTAGGATTTGAAGCAAATTAGTTGTCCTGAAAGCTAGCGACACTGTTTGCTAAATATGATGGCGCAATATTAGTACATGGCATACGTTTCCGCCGTGGAAAGAGGGGAGAGAAGAAGGGAAGAGAGAGAGAGAGAGAGAGAGAGAGAGAGAGAGAGAGAGAGAGAGAGAGAGAGAGAGAGAGAGAGAGAGAGAGAGAGAGAGAGAGAGAGAGAGAGAGAGAGAGAGAGAGAGAGAGAGAGAGAGAGAGAGAGAGAGAGATGCAGCGCTCCGAGTCGCCGCTAGGTCCGGCCGCGGCACGCAGCCCCTGTCGTTATCGAGTTCCTGTGTCCGGTAACGAATGACCGTGGCCCGCTGCCGTTACATTAGCACTCGGAAATGGGCGGTGGCCCACTCGGCGACCACAATGCCGCCGGGCCGGCCGCGCCGCGCCGCCGGCCACTTTAATGCCGCCCCGATACAAAGGGCCGGCCACCAGACGGTATTTCGGGACCCCGGATACCATACGAATCATCTGACGGCTCTCCCGAAACGGCCGTTTAAATGACTCGAGTGCCGCCGTGCCGGGAATATTTCATAAGGCGTTGCATTTACATAGAGCATTAGCGATGGGGTCTTATATCAGGTTTATTCGGTTTGGGATGGTTTTTGTAAATATGCCATCAGTTTGTGTTTTCCTCAGGAGATGGATGCTTAACAGGAGATGTGTTAACCTCAGGAGATGGCCGGCCCGCGACCCAGCACCGGGTCGCGGGTCGGCCACCTTGCGGCGAATGTGGTAACTACGGATATTGCAAAGCGTTGAGAATCTACAGTATGTTGAAGTCTAGCTGAAAATATGAATAAGCCTTGTTCTTAGGCCTTTAGATGACTATTCACACATAACAATGGGCGCTAAATTTGTTAGTTAAAAATTATTATCAGAATTCAGCTGAACCTAACTTCCCTTGAATGATGTAAACCCTCAGTCATTCTAATTTTGAAATCGCCAGCTCATTAAGCTCTCCGCTTCAAATTGTCGGTTCACGACTTAGTTATCTCTTTCTCCATGCCATTCCGCATAAAACACTCAAACTAACCAAAGTTGTAGAGAAGTCAGTCGGAAGCCGGTGGAACAACTTACAAAGAAAAATAAAACAACAATAACCCAAAATCAACACTGTGGTATTTTTACCTCCTTTTCTGCATTTAATTTCAGGCACTCCGCGTAGCTTCTCGGCCCGGGTACTGGGTATGGTGTGGGCTGGATTCGCAATGATCATCATCGCCTCATACACTGCCAACCTGGCTGCCTTCCTGGTGCTCGACCGGCCTCAGACGCGGCTTAGTGGCATCAACGACGCTAGGGTGAGTCTTAGAGCGTCATACGACGTCATATGGTGGCTCGTCATTCCATGATGTTAGGAAATAGGATGGTGTGATGTGCTGGGCTGCACGGTGTGGGGCGTTGTTTCAACAATAGAGAGTTATTTGAGAATGTGTGGGATTGACGATGTGTAAGCTACCGTGGCTTGTGACGTAGAGCAGCTGCTTGATTAGGCACAGAGTGGATATTATTTAAATTGTATCCGTAACGTAATGTGTTTTATGTGGCAGAATGTCTCCAGCACCACCCAGCAACCAGCCGATAATGTAATATTAACCGCCTCACGCTCCGCTGCTAACCTTTAAGCCGGTCACACATTCACCAGATTAAGTATAATGAACCAGCTCGCTGAGACAATAATGGGGTGTCGCGCTCGCCGAACGGCCCTCCACGGCAGCGGGCGTGTCGTGTTGGGCGCGCATTACACACTCGCTGAGCCTCGAACGCGTGGTAAAGTGCGCCATCTGCATGTCGCAAATCACGGCTGAAGCGGTCGGCCGTCGGCCGGGCGAGCGGCGCGGAGTCTGACGAGCCGGTCTGTCCGGTTCCAGTTGCGGAATCCCATGGAGAACTTTTCGTACGCCACCGTCAAGGGCTCGGCGGTCGACATGTACTTTCGGCGACAAGTGGAGCTGAGTAACATGTACAGGACCATGGAGGGGAAGCAGTTCACCTCGGCAGAGGAGGCCATCAAAGCCGTCATCAACGGGTTAGAATGATGGAGAGGGAACGAGAGCAGCTGAGGATCTGAGCGCTTCAGATGAGGATCTGGGGGGTGTTGGCCTTCTGTCAATTGTTAGTAATATGACCGCCTGTTTCATGCTCATATAATCAGCTCTTTTTTGTTAGAACATAATTCAGATATTGTCACGGCCAGTGAGCTGAATTCGTGTTTGTTGTACTAAGAATGAATGTACCGATACCTTGTTTCACTTCAAATTGCTCGTTATTTACAGTTCTCCATTCATTATCCGTCTAATTCTACCTGGTAACGACTTCACTCCGTCTTTGTTTTCCACCTCTTATGCATGTTTAAAGGCGAAGCCTAAATATTGGAAGCATTCGACTCGAGTCCACGTCCGTATGAAATTTTAAAACGTCCCCTCGTCCCAACGCTGACCACTGCCCTCCATTCGCAGCTCTTTAAATGCCTTCATCTGGGACAGTTCACGACTGGAGTTCGAGGCCGCGCAGAACTGTGCTCTGGTGACGGCCGGAGAGCTCTTTGGCCGCTCCGGCTACGGGATCGGCCTAAAAAAGGACTCTCCATGGGCCAATCACGTGACCCTGGCCATCCTCCAGTTTCACGAGAGTAAGTTCTCCATAAATAAGGTGTTATAGGGAACCATCGTGTGTCTGGCTTTCCCCCAGGGCTACTGAAAGGCAGATAGAGATGTGTGAGGGCTGATAAAAATCGATGTTTGACCTCTTTGGTTGAGACGATAGAACGAATTTTATAAATGTGTGACGTCGTCTTTAAATAGTTATTGCACCGGGGTGCACCACTTACTCATCATCTTGTCGTTGTTGCTGAATAGTTTAGTGTATTACCGATTACGCATGTGTGAATATCCTGGAACTTTTCGGAGCATGTCACCTAATGATTTGTTAGCCCGTAAGCCGCCAAACTATAGTCACTAATCAGTCGCCAATCGTGACTGTTCTACTTCGACGATGACAGTGTTCTTTATGTGTCTGCCGGTAGCGCCAAACGACACCCAATGGCCCGTTTTTCCTCAAGCAACCATATTGAAGAGAATGGACAACAGGTTAATGATACTCCTGATTAACGTCATGCCTACCTCTCCCCCGCAGGTGGCTACATGGAGCAGCTAGACAATCGATGGATCTTCCAGAACCGTAAGGAGTGCGAGACGCGAGAGAAGGCGCCGGCGACACTCGGGCTGAAAAACATGGCCGGCGTGTTCATACTGGTACTGGCAGGCATCGCCGGCGGCTGTGCACTCATCATTATAGAGATCATCTATAAGCGGCACAAGATCCGGAGCCAGCGGAAACTGGCGCTGGCGAAAAATGCTGCGGACAGGTGGCGGGGAGCTGTGGAGGTGAGTGCGGGGATGGGGCTGATGCGATTTGGATGAGGTGTGTGCGGGGTGCGGCTGGTGTGCTTTGTATGGGGTTTTGTGGAGAGGGCTACTGTGGGGAGCGGCAGGTCGCTTAGGGTGGGGCTGGGTGCTGAAGAACGCTTGGGATGAAGGATTGATGATATGCGTGCGATTGAGGACGTTTATTCTTCTTATGGGTTTGGAGAGGCGTACATTGCGCAACTGATTTGTTAATGATATTCCCACCACCAGTACTTTAAGGTCAGTAGAAGCCGCACAAGGTGCTACAAACAAAATGAAATGAGTTTTCCGAAACGCGGGACAGGCAACGTCATTTCGTCTCTAAGTTTAATCCATCTAGGACACTTCGTTAAAGCCTGTTTCCCTGGAAAGGTAATCATACCGCTTCTAAATTCTGGTTTAAACGGCGCATCCCATGTATTCGTAATCGATCTTCTGTCGATCTCGCAATGATGACGCCTAGTATAAACACAGCTATAATACCAGCATTTACAATGTCGCTATACGTAACCGTAATACTTTTCAGACGTATCTTGATAAAGGATAGACCTATCCATTAGCTAGTTCACAGAACCATCGCGCCAGCTAGCCCTCTATAGCTACACTTCACTAACAGGAACTTCCTCCCTGTTCAAAAACACGCGCAGCAGCCGGTGCAGCTGACGGCCGGTTCCGTTTTCGGTCGATCGGCGGCCGGATGTTCTGTCACCGGTCTCGGTCGCCGAGTGCCGCCGATATAACGGATGCCGCTCGACTCTCATTGATCGAGTACCGATGACGTAGTCGCGCCGTGGGAGGGCATAATCAAACGGCGATGGATACCGAGATCTGGCGGCTATCACAAGATAAAAGGGCACAAAAACCTAATTGGGACTGCGACTGATCGGTCCGCTTCTCGCTCGGTTCTGACGCTTCTTGTCGCCAATTCTCTGGTTATTGTTTCATTGTTATTATAAGGGTACTATGCGTTGGTGGCTGTAAAAAGGTTAAATACTTAATGGAGCATCCTTGCGAGGTTGACTATAAAGACGGTGTAAAATATCATAGCTGTTGCTCCGTTTAGCCACCTACTAAAGAATGGAATGGCGACCTCCCGTGCAGACTATGAAATGGTTATTCTTCACCGGCAGCCGCTCGTAAGGAATAAGTCTAGGTCATAAGATTCCTCCCTCAAGATGAAATGCCTCATCGTGAAGTTATTGCTCTCACAAACAGGCAATAAGCCACAATAACTGACGGCATTTATTTGTGCCATCCGCTATATTTCGCCGCATTTTCTTTTTGTGTGCTCGGATTCAAGTCTTTTTTCATCCAGCTACTCCATAAAAACGTTTCGTTTTGTTTTTTTTTCAAGGTATGATGAGTTTTTTTAGTTCGTTAAAACTACTCTCTTGCTAATTATTTACGCATTTTTCTATTATTTCTTTGGACAGTTCAATGCAACATTGGTTTGTGTTTATTTTCTAAGGTATGATGTTCAATGATCATTCATGTCGCTTGTATTGTTACGTTCTCATCCTTGTTTAGCACCTACTACTCTTCCACTTGTTCAGTCCTTCGGCCTCGTCAGCGACTCTTCTTTCCCTCATACATGCTTCCTTCTCCTCAAATCTGCCTTCCTCGTTGTTCCTATGCACTCTGCCTATCTCCAGCAACTCTGAGGCGTCACCACCAACCCTGAACGAACCCCTGACGCTCCTGTGTAGCGAGACTCGGACCTGAAGCGACTGGCGTTGCTGGCGGACGTGGACGCTCCGCCCGATGTGCCCCGAAACACACCTGAGCCGTGCCGCGAGCCGCCGCTGCCCCCGGTCCTCATAGGACTCGAGTGGGAGACCAATTCGCCTGTGTGACACGCCGTCCAGTGATGGACAGTTAGTGGTGAGACGCCGCGTGATGAGATGCAGTGAGGTGGGACTAACCAGAGGTCGAAAACTAACCGAGAGTGAGAACTAACCACAACACCTAGCCAGAGACCTGGGGCTGGGACTAGCCAAAGAACTACGACTAACCGAAGATTGAGACTAACCAAATAGTGAGGTCTAATTAGAAGGCGAGGGCTAATTGGACTAGAGAGATATCCACGCCTAGGCATATAAGATCTCTATGTCAACGTAGCAACAGTGGTAAAGAAAGATAGTCGCCATGTGTGCTCTGTAGTTTTCCACGAACCATGGGTTATGTAACATGCGGTGCTGTAGATTTGAGGCGGTTCTGGACTGACATACTTAAATTCGCCTTTTGCGTTCAATTAGTTTGTTTCTTTTCAGCCCGTGGCACTTGACATTAATTCTTGGAATATCAAATCCCATCAAAGCTCCGCAATATTAACCTCTCATTTCAGTTGCTGGAAGTCATAACTCATAATTCTTTGTTGCCGTGTGTTAAGCTCACATTTTCATGGTTTCCTAATCTGCTTGAAATAATATAATCATATTTCCCGCACCCGGGTAATGGCCTGCGCCGTGGATGGCTCCTGTACCTACGCCGTATGCGCTACTCCTGCACCCGTTCATTGTTTCGCATCTCAATTAAAACTTCATGATGTTTTTAGATGCATGATGGTTTGATGCGAAATGTAGCATCTTGATCTATTTAGTTCTCCTTCCCATGATGGCGTAAATCAGAATTCGGCCTATGTAACGGGGCCTGGTTATCGAAAGTCATCTGAGACTTGAGTGTCATAATCGCTCCCGAATGTCGCATTTTGTCACCATTCTTCGATGACTTGGCTCATAATCCATGTTTGCCAAATCTCCCCTGCTGACTCAACTCATATTTACAGCAGTTACACCCGCGTTCATCTCTGCAATCGTCTGTGTGTGCACTGTGCAGTGTGCACCCTCCACCCTCGCCGCCCTCCTGTGACCTGTACCCTCTCTGACACGCGGTGTGTGACACCAGCCTCTGACATGGCGCCCCCCGACAGTGCCGGCCCCCGAAGGCGTCCGAGGGCGACCCCCCGGCGGCGGTCCGGCTCGCCACAGCCGGCAATCTGAGTCCCCTGCAGGTCCGCCACACCGCCGGCCGGCTGACCGTCTGTCGCTCTTTCTCTCTGTCTCTCTCTCTGTCTGGCTTCCGCTGCTCACACTGCCGCGCTCTGCCTGCTCGTAAAACTGCCCTCACTGCTGACACTGCCTCCACCGCTGAGCATCACACGGCCGCCTCTGATACTGCTCTGATGCTGATGATGCCGCTGGCGCTGACACTGCTACTGATGCTGCCGCTCACACAGCTATCGCTTCCTTTGGTGACACCATTGCACGCGTGCCAGTCTTCCGCCTCTCTGACCTAGCCCTCCTCGCGGGTGATGCTCGTCGGCGCTTCGAGCGGCAAGACACCGCTTCGATTCATCCATAGGAGCGCTGCGTAGGTCTGATGACACGCTTCCAGTGGTGTGCCTGCCTGTACAGAGTGTGAGCTGAGCCGGCTGGCGCGCCGGGGACGGCTAAGAGTTGAGTACGGCAGCTTTGTGGAGGGAGCGGGTTGTATATACGAGGGGGACTGTCTGTCGTCTGTGATTCTAGTGCGGTCTGCCTGCCGGGATGAGCGGTGTTGGAGTGGTGCGCTTCAGTTTGGAGCTGTACATAACAGACGGCTGGCACCGAACCGCTACACCTACACATCGAATGTTGTGTGAATTGTGTAACATACGGCACCAGCCAGCTCGGTTGAAGCCGCGGTTGGAGTTGCGGAACGTGCCTGTAGTCTGTAGTGATAGCTAACTAACGAACGACGCTGCCCGGATGCAGCGGAAGATATAACATGCATCACCGCGGCTGAGCTTAAATTAATCTGATGAATCTATTTGTACAAAGCTGTTTATGTTTTTATTGTTTATAACTGCGGTTATTCGTTTCATTATTTCGTCAAAAAGCCATAGACTAGATTAATCTGATTTTCGTTTGTAATTTTGAGTTGTGAATTTTTTAAATGTAGATATGTGAAATCAATTTCAGCTTTGATTTTAGCACTGCCGTGAAATAGCTGTATTTTTGAACGACACATTATATGAAGATTTCGAACACTTCAAAGTTATGTCGGTAGCCCAAACTGTAAAATACGAATCGCTCAGCGAAAAACTCGCTCAAGACTATTATTGGACCCCGATCGATGCCAATCTCGTACAAACCAACTCAATCCCCAGTTTTCCTCAATCACTCGCTCGCCGCCGTGCGTGGGCCTCTGACAGTCTCCGCACCACGTTCCAGAAGCGGCGCCGCCTGCGCCAGTCCCGCCAGCACGCGCGGCACAACGGCGAGCCGGGCTTCTCCGCCGACCCTTTCGGCACCGACTTCAGCAGCGCCTTCTCGTGGAGCTCGCCGGACGTGCGGCAGCGGGTGCTGCAGCCGCCGCCGCCGCCCGCCCGCAGAAAGATGACCATACTGGACGCCTAGCGCCACCGCGCGGCCGCTGCACCAACCACAGCTTCTGGTGGCTGTCGCGCGGCGGCGGTGCGACGTGCTCAAAGTCAGTGGTAAAGGGACCGGTCCGTGCTAGGACTGAAAGGTGCTCTTTTTTAGCCAGCTGGTTGTTATTTGTTCGAGCTATTTTTGCGCCAAGTGAGTGTGTATTTGTGTGTGCAGTCGTTGTGAGAGCGCGTGGTTAGGTGCTGTGGCACTGTGGGGAAACTCTGCGTGGTGTTGAGCCGTATGATCAGCGTTTGTGGCTGATGTATCGCGCCCAATACGGTGGCGGCGGTGGCCGCCCTGCAACCATTCCTGTGACGTCTCAGACGAGACACGTGCCAACCTGGTCTTCGCTCGTAGGAAGCACTCTCGCACCTTCCCGTCCCGAATACGGTACCACTGGGAGCTGGACGGCTGTCCCAATCGCCCTGAAATGATGAACCAATTCCGGTAGCGAATATCCAAAACACAACTACCCCATACTAGAAAATCATAATATTTTCATTCTTCTTTCATCAAAAATCAGTCCATTCCCTACGTCGCATGAGGCATCATCTCTTAGTTTCGCGTCAGTTATGTTGGGCCGGCTGGGTTCTAAGTTCTCCCTCCCTCGGCCCTGCTCCAGTAACCAGCCGGTTCCGGGTGTACGGGTGCAATTCCGCCTCGCGATTCAACTAGGACCGACGCGTACCGAAAAGGCGAGTCTCTGGTGAGAGCCATGCCGTCCTTACGTGCTCAGGACACCGCTTCGACGCTGGGCTTGGCCCGGCGGCGGCGCCCGAGCGACTCTGGCACGGACTCGGGCTGCAATATCTCACCGAGTAGGGCTGCCATATCTCACCGAGTAGGGCTGCCATATCGGGAGAACTCGGGCCGTGGATGAACAATGGTCTCGGGTCGATGGATACCTTGGGTTGTGGTCAGCGCGCGGTGGACTGGGCCAGCCGCGCTCTGCCCCGTTCAGACGCGTTGTGAACAGTGAAGCGTCCCGGGGGGCAGTGATGGACGCGCTCTGATCGATTCCGTTCGCCGCCTCACAATGTCGGCAGATATATTGGTGCGATGTTGCTCAACCCTGCACTGGATAGGGGCGGGCCGCTGATGATAATGATGTGGCTGGACTGGAAGCTACCCCGCCGAAACGGGCGGCCTAGCTTCGCATCACGAGATCAGAGAGCTTATTTCATTTGAGCTCGAAAGCCTTAGATAACTGATGACTATCACGTTGCACTCAGGCCGGCGTGGCGTAGCCAAAAATGAACCGCAATATCATTGGGAGCGCCAAATTCCGATCGGGAGACGGCTGGAGCGCCGCTCGCACGTAGCTGCATTAGACGGTAGACTCGGAGCACTTCTCTCTGTACATAGACGGCTCCGCGGGCCACCAGTGATGCACACTCAATGTGTAGAGCTCAGATATGGGTGACCAGAGCGAGTGTGACTGGGGAGCAGTCACTGAGTCTCTGGCGAGTCGTCAGAGTGTGACGGAGAGGCGGGTACTGGTACGGACTTCGTGATGATCGGTGAGCAGTGATCTCTTCGCACCGGGCTGAGCAGGGTCCGTTAGTCTGGGTTCCAGGTAGGTCGCTGCTGGGATTTTGTTCTTCTGTCGCTCTAGTCAGTCGCAGATTCTACCTCTCTGTGATGCTGTGGTGGATTACTGAAGCTAGCGAATCTTCAGTGGCAGATGCTGCTCACTTCGTTGCCGCCCGACCATATCTTGATTTTCGTTTTCCAATGTCTCACCGACCGCAGTCTGCTGTGTTGAATATGGGTTTTAGCTACTGAATTGGAAACGGGAGTTCGCTGTTTTGTATGAACTTGACAGCTTGGTAGATGAATGCCAAATCGGTGACAATCTGAAAAGAACTGTATGCAAGACGGCAGATCCCCCATCGTGTGGTTTCTAGAATCGTGACTCATTTATTTTATCTGAGAATAATCTTTTGTCACTTGCTTTCTTACCTGCATCTTATTTTCTACCCGTCGGCTGTTTCTATGGGACATTATCTTTATCATTATTTTAGTCTCATTCACTCAAGTCTCACTGCATCATTTTCGGGTGCCAGCCTGAGCACTTTCGTCGCTCGTGCGTCGCCAGTCCCTGGTCTGTGGCTGACACTGAGGGACGACCAGGGCGGCTGGTACGAGCGAAAAGTGCTGACACTCTGCCAGCAGCCGAGCTTTCTGTGCGATATGGTGGCCGGGCGGCGGCCGGTGTGCTCTGCCCGTGTATATAGACGATATGGTGTGTGTGAACGCGGTCAGTGGTGCTTCAGAGAGTCTGTGACGGGTGGTGAGAGTGAACCGTGCCATGCTGGTCCAATGTCAAGGGTAGTCTTCGTATAGTGCGCGAATAAACTTTGTGATAACATGCGTCTGGTATGTGCTTGCTCGGGGAGACTGCTCATCGTCTTAGGAATCATGGAATGGCATATATGTAGAATACAACTGTTAGTTCCGGCATGTCTCCGTCCCAAAACAGGTGTAGTCAAACACAGGACCTTGTATTCATCTTGTCTATAGATCCGTTTCTGCAACACGTCAGAACAATCGTCACATATAGCAGCAGTGAGCTCTTCCCTAACACAACAACTGAGCCACACTCGATCTGACGATTAGACCCTGACATGACCCATACTCGTTCGTCCTTGACACATTTCGACTGCAAGTAGCACATACTAGGCACATACTATCATAAGACTGAAAACGACCAGTTCAATCAGTTAAACTTACTGACTGTGTGCACCTCATGCCGGACTAACTGGGGGGCTGATTCCCTCTGACACACGGTCGAAACAGTCTCTTCATATTATTCCTGCAGAAACAAAGTTATCAGTTTGGTACTCAAACACGGACAAACCTGAAACACCTTTGGCTTGGCTATTCACAGCCTTAAACAAAATAACATTCTCAAAATACTTTCTAGTTTCTAGGCCTTATCGCGGACCTTTAGTTCTACATACATGAAATGCGGCAAACAAATACAAATCCAGCGCAGAGTTCAAGTGCTGATATCAGACAGAGATCACGGTAAATCTGCTAGTTTCATATCACCATCAACAACGGGCATTTATCTGATTCAATCCACATAGAGTTATGCAAGATTTCACTTCCTAAACTCACTCATTAGCGCCAGGGAAATCAAACCATCCTCAGAAACAATCCTGAACAAGAATGTCGGCCGCACAAAACGGGCGTGGCAGGAACACGACAGTGCCCACCACTATCATACCGAAACTGCTGACACGTCACAATGTTTTAGGTTCTTAGATTCGAAAACGTGAAACACAAAACGCAGAATTATTTGTTTCGGAAAACGTTGTACAAAATATTGTTCATAGCATTCAAAGAAAACCGTGGAAATATTCATCAGAATGGTATTCGAGTATTTAAAGTACCTGCCACATTCGAGTACTTGTAAATACCCACGCGTAATCACACTCGGTCAATATAGATGTCGCGACGATCGAACGCCAAACTGCTGCTATAGCGTGACTATCGGCGCTTAACTAATATAGATGTCGCGACGATCGAACGCTAAACCGCTGCTATAGCGTGACTGCCGGCGCTAGACTGCTGCTATAGCTAGAGGGCAACTACACCCGCCCCCTTGAAGCCACCACGCAACACATGGCTTCAACCTTAGTCTACGACACGAACATGACGCACAGGAACATCTTCCATACAGAGTACACGATCTCGCCTACAGCTTGATCAGCTTAGTCACCGGTCGCTGAAGCGTGACGCCTCTGGTCTTAATCTCTACCGAGCGCACTAATCCGTCTGCTCCGACTCGTACTCGCTCCACTACTCCTAATGGCCACTGGCCTCGCGGCACAGCATCATCAACAACTAGAACCGCGTCTCCTACAACAAGGTTAGTCATTTTCCTTGTCACCCTATACGGTCGTTCCTGTAACAACGGTAAGTATTCTGCTCGCCACCGCTTCCAGAACAGATTCGCGAGATACCTCGCCTGCTTCCAACGTTTGACACTATCTGAGTCACTCTGGCCTACAACCCCGAACGGCATCACCACGCTGCCGGTACCAATCAGCAAATGGTTGGGAGTGAGTGGCTCGTGATCAACCGGATCTAAGGATACTGAGGTGAGTGGCCGACTGTTCAATATTGCCTCTACTTCACACAATAGAGTCAACAGAGTTTCTTCCGTGAACGTCTGCGAGTCCAGCAATGATCCCAGGATTCTTCGGATTGAGCGTATCTGTCGTTCCCAGACACCTCCGTGGTGGGACGCTGCGGCTGTGTTGAATTTCCATTCTACTCCTTGATTCAACAGCGTACGATGCAGCACATCTTCATTGGCTCGCAGTTTCTCCAACTCCTCTCGAAGCTCGCGACTGGCACCAACAAAATTTGTCCCCTTGTCTGATCTGAGCACCTTGACGTGACCTCTCCGTGCGACGAATCTACGTAAGGCGCACAGGAATGAATCTCCTGACAAATTTTCGGCGACCTCGATGTGGACGGCCCTCACCGCCAAACAAGTAAAAACGACTCCGTACCTCTTCACCTGCTTCCGTCCTTGTCGGACAAAAAACGGTCCGAAATAGTCGACTCCGGTTCGAGTGAATACAGGTTCTTCCGCTGTGACTCTGTCACTCGGCAGGTCCGCCATCTTCTGAGATTCTGGTGGGCGATGTCGTCGGCGGCATCCGAGGCAACGTCCAATCACTCGTCTGACGATCGAGTTCCCTTTCACGATCCAGAAACGTCTCCGTATCTCAGCTAACACATGTTGGCGTCCAGAGTGTCCGACCTTCTCATGCACCTGTTGAACAGTTAGTTCGGCGAAATAGCAATCCGGGAGTACAATTGGGTGCTTCTGGTCCAGGGTGACATCAGCATTCTTCAAACGTCCGCCAACTCGGAGGATCCCATCACTCAGGAATGGATTCAGCTTACTGAGAGCTCCCTTCACTTCCTTCCCATTGCGGAGTGTCTCCAGCTCATCAGGAAAACTCTGCTCCTGTACCCACCTAACGACACAGTTCTCTGCTTCTTCGAGATCTATCAGCTGGAGTCGAGATGGACGCTCCGTTTCTCGACCCTGCGATTTTGTCGCTCTTTCCTGCAATCTCTTCTTCACCTTCAGCAGCCAAGCCACTGCCCTTAGAAGAGCCTGCTTCTTACTGTAATGACGAATGAGCACTTCGATTGGATCCTTCATCTTCTCTTCTGACACCTTCATTGCACAGACCTTCACCTTCTTCACTTCAGGGTCTTCTTCCGCTATCTTCACCTTGGTTGGAGGCATCATGGGCCACTGCTCCTCTGGAAGCCGAAGAAAAGCCGGTCCAGAAAGCCACCTCTCACTCTGAACACCTCGTGAACTGTCATCGGCCGGGTTTTCTTCACCTCTCACGAACCTCCAGTTCTCAGTCTTTGATCCATCGTGGATGATCGCCAACCTGTTGCTGACAAACGTGTGGAATCTAGTCGCAGTGTTCTGCACGTATGCGAGAACGGTAGTACTATCCGTCCAGAAGAAATGTTCTGTCTCCGAACCGAGCTCCATCGCGTCCTCTATCAGCAACCGAACACGTACCGCCGTCACTCCAGCCATCAACTCCAGACGAGGAATCGTTATTTTCTTCAGTGGAGCCAGATGTGATGTACCTTTCACGAAAGCGACATGGACATCTCCCTGCTGGTCAGTGAAGCGAGCATAGGTGACTGTACCATACGCCCACTCACTAGCGTCGCTGAAATGATGCATCTGGAGCGTCGCCATTCCACCGAATTCAGCTGGCTTCAGATGCCGTGGGACACACAGATCTTGAGTAGCATCCAGATGAGATAGCCATTTCATCCAGTCGCTGCGCTGTTGAGCTGGAATCTCCTTGTCCCAGATTTCTCTCGTCCTGCAGAGATCTTGTAGGATCTTCCTGCCACAGATTATCGTTGGCGAAACGAGACCGAGCGGGTCGTAGATAGAACTCACTGCTGAAAGGATGCCTCTGCGGGTCAACGGCTTCGCCCGCAGACTGGTCGCGTTGATAGATACCCTCAGCAGATCGTTCTCTGTATCCCAGACTACGCCCAGGGCGCGCTCTTCTGGTAGACTTTCACCGACTCCTGTACATGTCTGCATCGCCTTTGACCTGTCGCCTGTCTGGATCGAGGACATAAACGCCGAGCTGTTGCTGGTGAACTTCTTGAGACTGAACCCACCTTTCTCCAGCAGCGTCTTCAGGTCGTGAGCCAACGAGATGGCCATGTCAGCGTCGTCAGTGCTCTTCAACACATCATCGACGTAGAAGTTGCTGTTTACAGTCTTCACTGCTTCAGGTGATACCTCTTCTGCGAAGTCCGTCGCCGTCTCTCTCAAGGCGTAGCACGCCACACTTGGCGAAGACTTCGCTCCGAAGATATGGACAGTCATCCGATACTCTACCACACCAGAGTCGGGGCGCCCGTCTCTCCACCACAGAAATCTGAGGAGATCGCGCTCAGACTCTGGCACCCGAACCTGGTTGAACATACTTTCCACGTCAGCCATGAAGGCGACTCGTTCCATCCTGAAGCGCATCAGGACATCGAGTAGCGAGTTCGTCATGTCGGGGCCTTGCAGTAAGCAGTCATTCAGACTGACACCGCCGTACTTCATAGCACAGTCATAGACGACGCGGATGCGGTTCTTTGACGCGTGGCGCACTCCATGGTGCGCCAAGTAGTTCACTCTGCCGTCGTCACGATGAATGTCTGCTACTGGTACGGGCTCAGCGTATCCCTTGTCGATCATTTCTTCCACAGAATCTCGGTACTGCTCAGCGAACTCAACATCGTTCTTCATTCGGCGACCTAGACTCGTCAGTCTTCTCTCTGCCAGGACACGGTTGTTCGGCAGTACGACGTCTTCATCCTTCAACGGAATGCTGAACTGGTAGTGTCCTCTGTCAACTTTCTTGGACGCCTCCATCACCGTGAGCCACTTCTTGTCCTCCTCAGACAGGCCTCTCTTCATTGAGTTGAGGTTCTCTTCGTATTCCCGATCATACATTCCTTGTATCATATCTTCGATGTCATTCACCGACGTTCTGTAGACCTTTGTTCCGCTGTCTGTGGCTGAGGAAGACGTCACCCCACTCAGGATCCAGCCGAACCTCGTGCGCACAGCATACGGGCTTCCGTTGCGACTGGGTATCACTTGCAGCGGCTCCATGCTGAGAAACGCGTTGGCGCCGAGGAGAAGTCCAACGCATGTGGCGTCTGCCTGCTCGAATTCTACTCCTGTGAGATGTTCCCACCTACTGACATCGAGCTGGTGGCTGGGGAACTCCTCTGGGTCCACCGGGATACGCTCCAATTCGAACAGCGGAGGCAGCCGGAGCGCGTGCCGCCCACGTAGGTCCGAAACCGTTACTCCCTCTACTACATGTGTTTCCACCTTCGTGCTTCTGTCGACTGTCGTCAGTGAAAGCTGTTTGCGTGGCATGTTGTCAATGTTGAGCTCTTTGATCAACGCTGAGGAGATGAAGGAATGTGTCGAGCCGCTATCGAGAAAAGCGTATGTTTGACACGTACTCGTACCAACACGAACAACAACAGGCACAACAGGGAGAACTGGCTTGCTAGCCTCAGACTCACCCGCTGTTTGACATGTTGTTACTCTGGCGGCGTCGGTAGGCCCCTCTCGTTGCTGCTGCTGGGTGTGATTCAGCTCATGTCCACGTCCATGCTGATGTTGGACAACATGTGATTGGTCATGCTGACGGCCCTGTTGTCCTTCTCGTGGCTGTTGTTCCTCCCTTTGATGCTGAGTGTCGTCTCGATCCGGGTGCTGTCCACTCTGTTGCTGATATTGCCGCACGTACTGTTCAGATCGTTCCCAGTGTAGTGAGGTTGGATGTCGCCTTCCACATGTCCTGCACGACGCTCTTCGCCTGCAGTCGCGACTTCGATGTCCTTGCTTCAGACAGCTCCAGCACAGAGCCTTCTCCCGGACGAAGTTTTGCTTCTGTTGACTCGTGACTGCGGAGAGACTCTCACACTCACACACATCATGACCTCGTCGGTTACAAAATACGCAGTGGCTCTCCTCGGGACGCGGCGTGACATGAGTCGCCGTTACCACTGCTCGACCAGAGCTCATCCGTGGACTCGTTCGTGTCACCGGTGTCCTACTCATGGGGTTCCCGCCAAACATGTCCCTACCGTATGTGGGGTTAGACGCAACTCTCGCTTCCTTTGTCACAAACGCGACCAAATCGTCAAAGTTCGCTTCTCGACCTCCAATCTCTTCGATGTCATCAACTTTGTGTCTCCATTTGTTGATCAGTAGCCCAGGGAGCTTCCCCACGATTGTTCTCAGTGTCCTGGGGTCGCGAAGAGTCTCGTGTGTGCCGCAACTACTCAGAGCGTTCCTGCACTTGGTGAGCAAGATACCAAAAGAATCAAGTCCTTGTACATCATCCGCTCGAATCTGACTGTGATTTTCTAGACGAGCAATGAACGCCGCTGATACAGTACTAGGCCGTCCGTATCTACTATCTAGCAACCGTCGGGCTTCGTCGTAGCCCTCCTGAAGATACATACAAGCAGACACGATGTGGTGCGGCTTTGTACCAGGAACCATGTACTGTTCTAAGTAGTACAACTTCTCATCAGGGTCGTCTAACTTGGACGCGATCTTCAAGTCGAATGCTCGGATGAACTGGGGATATTCAGTGACGTCACCTTCAAATCTCGCTATCTCCACTGATGGAAGACGCATGAACCCAGCGAGAGCACGCTGAGCGCTCTCCCCTGACGAGTGTGAAACTGTGTGTGCGCCGGCCGAGCGGACGACTCGTTCGCCGACCTGGTGATTCACTGGACGCGAGGTAGTTTGATGGATGCTCTGTTCATCTATCGGTGGGAAGTGTGGAATAGCACCATGTTGAACGACATGTTGACCTGCTAATTGTGATGCCTGTGAATATGCAGCACACTGATCCGGGATAGCGTCTGAAAACCTGTGCTGGAACACCAAAGACTGTCCTACTGAAGTGAGTGGTTCCTGACTGGCGACCTGACCGAGAACTGGTCCTCTAGCGCTCACCGAAGTCGGAGCTCCTTGAGCTTCCACAAACTGTCTTCGCTCTTGCATCTGCGGCTGTAGTACTCCATGTGAAGGCTGGGTCGTCAGTACCTGCTGTTGTTGCTGACAGTGCACTCCGGACTGAGGTTGAGTGATGTTCGCCTCTGCTTGCACCTGTTGAGAGCGTTCAATCATTTTCACTTGTTCAGACAAGGCAACTTCTCGAGCTTTGGACACATCAAGGGCTTCATTTATCTCAAGCAGCTCCTTTTCTTCCTGCAATCTGGCTAACTCCCTGCTCAGCTTTTGCTTTTCTGTCATACGCTTGAGCTTGACCTCCAACTCAGCTCTGTTTGCTGCTTCTTTAGCTATCCTAGACCTGACCGAGGAGGTAGAGGAACGGGATGCTCTGGATACATTGGATGCACTATCCTGGGGATGCACAACCTGTTCGTGCGAAAGAACATCACTTCTCACACCTAATTCAACTCCTATACTCTGACCATCAACATCAGTGACAGATCTACCACTATCAACAGCAGCAGGACAACCATCGGTTTTAACACCTGAATCCTTATCAGTCATGTTTGAGTTTACATTGGCTGCCACTACGACATGAGCACCATCAGATTGCTGTACACCTCTCACATCACGAGCATCAGGGTCAGCACCAGCATCAACAAGTTCATCCCCAACTGCAGCTTCTAGTCTCTCACATAGTTCAGCTTTAGTCCCCTTAGTGTTAAGACCCCGCCTCTCCAGCTCAGCCTTCAACTCACTGGACTTCAGTTTATGCATTCTCAGTTCTTAGATGGCACTCACTGCGTTTCATTGAGTAGTCTCGTGGCAGGTGCACTCACTGCAGTCGGATGAGCAGTCTCGTGGTAGATGCACTCACTGCAGTCGGGTGAGCAGTCTCGTGGTAGATGCACTCCAGTTGCAGTCGGATGAGCAGTCTTGTAGCAGACAGTCAAAACTGTTAGTTCCGGCATGTCTCCGTCCCAAAACAGGTGTAGTCAAACACAGGTCACAGGACCTTGTATTCATCTTGTCTATAGATCCGTTTCTGCAACACGTCAGAACAATCGTCACATATAGCAGCAGTGAGCTCTTCCCTAACACAACAACTGAGCCACACTCGATCTGACGATTAGACCCTGACATGACCCATACTCGTTCGTCCTTGACACATTTCGACTGCAAGTAGCACATACTAGGCACATACTATCATAAGACTGAAAACGACCAGTTCAATCAGTTAAACTTACTGACTGTGTGCACCTCATGCCGGACTAACTGGGGGGCTGATTCCCTCTGACACACGGTCGAAACAGTCTCTTCATATTATTCCTGCAGAAACAAAGTTATCAGTTTGGTACTCAAACACGGACAAACCTGAAACACCTTTGGCTTGGCTATTCACAGCCTTAAACAAAATAACATTCTCAAAATACTTTCTAGTTTCTAGGCCTTATCGCGGACCTTTAGTTCTACATACATGAAATGCGGCAAACAAATACAAATCCAGCGCAGAGTTCAAGTGCTGATATCAGACAGAGATCACGGTAAATCTGCTAGTTTCATATCACCATCAACAACGGGCATTTATCTGATTCAATCCACATAGAGTTATGCAAGATTTCACTTCCTAAACTCACTCATTAGCGCCAGGGAAATCAAACCATCCTCAGAAACAATCCTGAACAAGAATGTCGGCCGCACAAAACGGGCGTGGCAGGAACACGACAGTGCCCACCACTATCATACCGAAACTGCTGACACGTCACAATGTTTTAGGTTCTTAGATTCGAAAACGTGAAACACAAAACGCAGAATTATTTGTTTCGGAAAACGTTGTACAAAATATTGTTCATAGCATTCAAAGAAAACCGTGGAAATATTCATCAGAATGGTATTCGAGTATTTAAAGTACCTGCCACATTCGAGTACTTGTAAATACCCACGCGTAATCACACTCGGTCAATATAGATGTCGCGACGATCGAACGCCAAACTGCTGCTATAGCGTGACTATCGGCGCTTAACTAATATAGATGTCGCGACGATCGAACGCTAAACCGCTGCTATAGCGTGACTGCCGGCGCTAGACTGCTGCTATAGCTAGAGGGCAACTACAACAACATCGAATTCCGCTTCATCACGATGCAGCAGAACGTTTCTCAAAGTTTTAGCAACATTTATTGTATTGCAGCACAACCGTACACACATAGAAATTCACGATTACGATTCGCCCTTCGGCGATTTAGGCAACTTGGGCAGTTGATATCTTATCCATTGGAACACATTGATGTGAAAATACGAGTACTGTTCGTAGATACATGACGCTCGTAGCGAACTTACCTGTGTGTTTACGGGTAAGATGTGAGTGCGACAGCTTGTGACCAGTTTGACTAGAAACAATGAGCAACGATTGTAACTGATAATACGCGTCTCCAAGCTATACATACAGACGTAACTGGCTTAGAAAAGAGCTTATACAAAAACAAATGCATTCAACTCCATGCATAGCATCTACATAACGGTCGAAGACGTCACAGCCCTAACAAAACAAACAAGCGAAGTGAGTGACCTTTTAGTAATTAAAGCTCTAAGTGGTCCGAGTGTATATTGCACTGCATGATGTCCCTGGGGATCTTTGATCTCATTTGTCACTGGCTCCACGAGTATCTATGGCTATCAGAAAATGAACGAGAGACTCATTCAGTGTGACTTTATCGCACTTTGACGTGATATGTGTCCATTCACTTTCTACTGATATGAAGTTCGCCATTTGGTGAACTGCATTTGTGACGCACGTCACATTATCGCACATCCACAGCTTGTATATGATCGGTGCTCCATTTAGCTTCCACAAACATCACATACATATCCTTGTCAAACGCCAACACTATTCATTTACACATTGCTACTTGCCTCTCGGCTCTTACCTCACACGCGCGCCTGTGAGATCTCCAAAAGTATCTCAAAGCACCAGCTTAACTCTCATCACTCTTTATCCTCCAAAACACTAGCTGGAGAGTCATGCTCGTCCTTCAGACTTCCCTCATCGTCTGTGTCATCAGCGAACTGAATATCATCACCGACCTCCGTCCTATCGGTCACCTCCTCCGCCACTTCTGTGAGCTCCGTGAGCTCAGCATCAGTAGCAGCACCCTCTGTAGCTACTTCTGTCACCTGGGTAGCCTCGGTGGTACCCAGCTCACTCATTTCCCCCAGTTCCAGCTCCTCTGTGGGTGTGACGTCAAAGTCGTACGCGCACAAGCTCAGCTGCAGCGGATCCATCCCAAAGATGGATCCGGGCGCCAGTGACGCGTTGGCCATGTGGTAGTCGTAGTAGTCCAGCTCCAGCTCCTGGTCTGCCGTGCTCAGAGCTGCGGTCGACGCGGAGCTGAGCGCTGAGCTGACTGCTGAGCTCAGCGCCGTGCTCAGCGCTGACTCCGACACGGTGGGTTTCAGCGTGTCGGCTGACTCTGACCGCACCAGCAGACGGCGTCGGTTTTCACGGTCCTTCCAGCGTTTTGACGCTGGTTTGGTGTGAGGTCGGTACTTCTCAGTCGACTCGGGCGAATCCTCCGCTTCAGACCTCTTCTCTAGCGCCTGCGAGCGACACCTGGTCGACTTCAGACAGCTGAGAGGAATCGCCTCTGGCCTCTTATCCCCCGCGAGGCGGCTGACTCGCGCCGCCAGGCGCCGTCTCTCGGTGGCAGGAGAGCTGGGAAGGGAACACCCCGCCGAGGCGGTGCTCGAGCGATGCCAGTCCGCCGCCAGCAGACGGTCACAGCTCGAGGTGCGAAGAGGCGGTCGTTTTCTCCTCGGACCGCGGCGTAGGCGCAGAATCACCGTCGACTCGGCTATGGAGGTGACTGAGGTGTGGAGAGACACCCAGCCGGCGCCGCCGCTGCCGACGCCGCCACCGCCGTCGGCATCGTCAGCACTGCTGAACAGCGACTCGCAGCTGAAAACGGAGACAGGTTGTTAGCTTTGGTCAACGTAAGTGTGGTGTGAGGTTCACGTTGTAAGGGCACTTTACTTGTGGAGAGGATGCAACTGGCCTGATCGTGATTGTGAAATAGTACACAATATTAATTTGCAAGCGGATCATCTGCTCCCGAATATCGCCTAATGTGTTTGATATCTGCTTGAGGCGGTAAATGTCCAATGCACGTAAGATTTCCAATAGCCTAATAGCACCCAAAGTGAATGCGTATGATGTAATTGGTTGACATCAGCCGTTTTCACGACAGGTGAATTCACCTAATTTGGCCAAATCTACACCAAATATATTTTACAATAAATATCATCGTATCATTAATTTATTATAATGTCTGATAATTTGAAAAATTGGGTATATAAGCATCTGTGCAACCCAAGCTGATAACTTTTAAGAAACGCTGAACCTAATTTGGCCAAATCTGCACCTAATCTACACCAAATGTGTACCAGATGGCGGTCGTGAAAACGGTTATTGCCGATTCTCTCATGTGTGCTCACACCGTCCCCAGCTCCCTCCCCTCCGCAGCGCTCTATCTGACCTATGTGACCTGGCAACTCGCCGGGCCTGCCAGGCGTGGTAGAAGGCCGCCCCCAGCAGTACCACCAGTATCACGGTCAGGAGGGCGATGGAGAGGACCCCGACAGTGGGGAGGCCGGGCCGCTCCGATCCGGCCATCGCCAGCTGGACGCCGCCACTCCGGTTAGACGCTGCGGGAGAGGGAGGCGCCAGTGAGGAAATGCGGCATTAACAGCACGCTGGTAAGTTATATAGACGTGATGGCCGTTGCATCCGCATTCCATCAGCGGCAAGTTTTCATGCATATGTAGGACTTATCGTTTTGACTTTTGAGGTCGTACTCTTGTGCTCGACGAGGCGTTTGATTGCCTACATGGGCTGAAGCGTCAGCCAAAAAACATCAACAGTGCACTACGGTCTCGTGTCCCTGCAGCAACAGCCGTACAATCGTGAATCAGCGACGAATCATGCCATGCGTGTACTTTTATGTACGGTAAAAAATCGTGAGGTTTGGACTTGGTTCCTACGTATTAAAATCCTGCCGATGTTCTCACCAACAGCCGCCACTGACGCCAGGAATCCTCCAGCCGGATGTGCGGCGCTCGCCGGTCCGCCGATGTATTCCAGCAGCAGGAAGTTCCCGCTGCTGACCACAGGTGGCGGTAGTGTCGCTCCGCGCCCGCCCACCAGCAGCTCCGAGTTGGAGTAGGGTCCGTCTCGCGCATAAAGCCGCTCCGAGCTGGTGTTGAGCAGGAAGTAGGAGAAGTGGAGGGAGAGCACGTTACCCTCGGTCGTCTGAGAAAGGCACAGTTAGTCGGAGGTTAGAACAGTAGACTTGATGAGGCGCTCTGAATAAGGCAACAGGCCATCACTTCCTGGCATTGTGAGGGATGTAGCGTTTACGAATTACGAGAGAATAGAGTCACATATGTGAGATACCTTCTGTTTGTATAGCCGAACAGTTCATTGCGTGCGCTTTAACACATTATATGACCGATTTACCTTAGAGCTCGTGACTGCATCGTTATAGCCAATGTTGTAATCACAGATTGTTACAATCAGCAAGCATGCATTGCGTACCCTCAGCAAACATTTGTTCCCTCTGCCACCATCGCACCCTCTCCATTTCACACCCGCTATGCATCTCCCGCCCGTCCAATCACCCCACTTCCCCATTCATCCGCTCCCTTTGCCCTCACCTCAAACCTCCAGAGGCTGGGGGCCGAGCAGCGGCCTGTCGCTGCCGCCACACTGTAGTTCTGCCCTCTGGAGAGAACCACGTCACATCCGCACCTACAGGTGGGACTGACGTACGCCTTCTGGACTGGAGACAGCGTCACCGGCGGTGTGGGACACGGCGGGAGGGCGCACCGCCGGACCTGGATCCCCTCACCCTGCCGGAGGAGAGAGGGCGGGTTTACGTAAGATTGGCTGAACGTAGAAAGGTAGGTGTGCTAAATGTCGTGTTCGGTGATGTTATTGTTGGTGTTTAATAGCTTCAAATAATAACGGTTAACATCTAAGAGGCAGCAGGATGGATCATTGGTCTGCAGTGACTTATGACCGCATTACCGTAGCGAGTGACGTCATCAGATTAACAACGACGTGTCAGAAATATCCCAACCGATGTGCTACGCTGACATCCCCAATAATGCTCTGTCACGATAACTAAACAAAAAAAGAGATGAGCGAAAAAGTCGCCAGCATCCTGCACTGCGCAGTGCACATCTCTGTCACGGCCGAACTCATAGATCGTTCATTGATTAAAACACCTGGCCTTAAAATTGACTCAGTAAGCCCGTTGACGACTTCTGTTCCCGCCTTGCAGGTGCCGGGAGCTGGGGTTATTTACAGTACCTGGCAGTAGGCTCCGTTGTTGCGGGGCGGAGGAGAGTTGCAGAAGCGATAGCGGACGCTGGAGGCGGCCCCACAGCTGGTCCGACAGGGAGACCACGGAGACCACGGACCAAACCCGCCGTCGGTCCGCACTGGAATGAGATAGGCTAGTCATTAGAGGCCATAATAGACCATGGACCAAACCCGCCGTCTGTCCTCATTGCAACAAGACACGAGGTAAGTGACTAGAGATCTTATAGACCTAAGACCGCGGATCGAACCCGCCGTCCGTCCGCACTGCAACGAGACAGGTTTATCAACTGAGACTACATAGACCACGGACCAAACCCACCGTCGGTCCTCACTGCAACGAAGCGCGAGGTTAGTGACAAGACCACAGACCAAAGTTGCCGTATGTCCGGACTGAAGCGAGACATGCTAGGCACTAGATAGACCGCAGACCACGGACCGAATATGTAGACCACGGACCAAACACGCCATCCGTCTGCACTGCAACGAGACGTGAGACGGTGAGGTGAGTCACATGGGACTACGCTGAGCTTTATGTGTGATGTGATTTAACTAACGTGTCGTAATTCGCCTAAAAACCTGACGCGGGGTGAGAGATGTATTTTCTGTCCTCGCCACGGGGCAATGGTCGATACCCCAATCAGTGACAGAGTTTGTCGATTGTTTAGTCACAAGGGACGCAGGGCACGCTTTGTCTAATAACTACTTGCATTTAGTAACAAGTTATGCAAACAGACTGATAATGAAATGGTGCCTGTGCCTGCATCTCCTTATATCGACTTTATTGTAAAGCAGTGGAAGTCCTGAAAATGGAGCCGCCTGTAAAGTCGTAAACATATCATCCCAGCATGTTGGTAAGCTTATTGGCCCATAATTCACGAGGCATTAAATCTACGACGCCGTATTTTTAAAGGGGCGTTTAATTCGTTTCCAGCGTCCCTGTGAGTCATTACCTTCCAAACTTGCGTGAAATCAATGTAAACCAAAACAGTGTAGATAAAAGGGAGCTGTTGAGCCAGCGAATAATTGCCTATTAATACATACTTTACGGTGCGTTCACTGGAGATTAACCGTGCGTTAATTCGAAGGTAGCCGTGCACCAATTTAAATTGGTGCACGCTCGTGCAGTGATGAATTTCTCGACTGAAGTTTTTCGGAAGGGTCATTGACTTTCTTCTAAAGATTCCCATAAAAGGCCCTTTTAATGTCATGGACTAAGATTAATTTTAATTTAAATTCGCACCGTTAAGCATGTATTAATTACTTTAACACATGGTTTCCGTGCATAAATGGTTTTAACGCACTCGTGGATGGAATGGAGCACTCGTGCGTTAATGCACTCGTTTCACTCGTGCATTAACACACTCGTGCTCCAATCCATCCACGTCGTGCGTTAAAACCATTTACACACGGGAAACCATGTGTTAATATATATTATTCAGCTGTTTTCATTTTAAAAGCACCCCACATAGCGTCTTTGGAAAGTTCATTGGAGCTCAACTCTGAATATACCGCCAAAGTTCCTGTTCTTATAGCTACTTGAGCTTCAATGGAGCAGAGCGTATGTGCCAGCTGAGGCCACTGCTCCCCTTTCAGCTCCCAAAGGCACACAGTTATCCGTCCGTGTGTAACTGGACTTTCCGCTGGCGCGCCGCTCCTCCGGCAGTGATCTGTTCTCGGACGGGGCGGGCGCCCTGCCTTCTCCCCTGTCCGCTGGGGAAAATGAAGCTATTCGTGCGCCGAGGCAGACCCCCGCGAGCCAATCCCGCTTTATTACACCTGCGGTCGCCATGGTAACGAAGAGGGGAGACTGACGGAGGCCGGCGGAATCAGGGGAACAACACGGTGGCCAGTCCAGGTGTCAAAACTCTTCGGCTGCTGTGGCTCTGCTGGGATGGGAAGAGTAGACGGATACACTGCCCTGCCCTTCGAGAGAAATGGCTGAACGTATATTTGACGAAGTAGAATGTCAAGAAAATGCACATTTTACGCATGAATACATAAAATATTGAAGATTAGATAAAGCTCATAACAAATCATTTTCTAGCTTCCGGTGTTTTCGATTCCCCTCTGACTATAATGCAGTGAATGTGCTTGACTGTTGAGAGCAGTTGGGGAAAACGACCTGGGCTCTGCCGGTTTCAACATGTCAGCAAAAACGGCCCTCATGTGCTCCCAACAAAATGCCAGATAAACAAAAAATGACCGTGTTGTGGGCATTATGGTTTGAAAGCCTACCTGGAAAGCCTTTACAAAACGACCTCTGACTATGGTTCTCATGATACGCGCTGACCCGAAATAAATCGTCACTTCTCAGAAACCATTTCATTTGACAGATCAAACAGCTCCCAAAAGTGTCGTAGGCGTGGTGCCCCAGGTGATTGGCCGGCATCTGAGCCCTAATAACAGTTGTAGAACGAATGGCCTGGGCTCTCAGGACGGGCACGGACGGTAGGCCACACGTGACAGGGCCATTTTCGCCAGCGCCCAGCCTGGTATGTGACAGGGTAACACGCACCTCGGCATTGTGTCCGAGCTAGCGTGCGAACCAAGGTGGCAGACGCCAGGTGGGTGGTTCGCTGTGGAAGTTTGGTGGAGAATGGTTGGTTTGTTACGGCCGCAGAGTATTGAAGCGGACACGGACGCGAGTGAGCACAAAGACGGGTTTTTATACAATGCTGCAGTAATGATGTTAGAGTAGCGCGCACCCAAACCGTTTTAAAGCCACCGATTTACGCAATTGCTGGAAACGAATATTAATTTTATAATTGCTATTTTGTCATTTTTGTTACACATAGCTAAACGCAACTTTTGCAAAATAACGTTATTAATAACGCTGCCAAACCAACTCGTCTCCAATGCAGACCAGCACACCAGTGCGCAACTTAATTTGTCGATTCTCCTTCTAGTGCCACAGCCGTCCCAATTGTTTGGCACCTCCGTCCAGAAGTCGCCCCGGTATAGGCCATTGCCCATTCCGTTCCCTGTCCGCCCATTGACCGGCCATTGTCCCCAGTTCCCTGCCGGCCAGTCTGTTGTCGCTGTGCCGTGCGTCGGTTGGTCACTCAGTCCTTTGTGACTGGTTCAATTAGTGCTGTACCGGGGCGGCGGCGACAGATTAGTACTTACCTACCCCCCGGGGGCAGCCGGCACCGCCCGGCCGGCCCCGATGCGACGCGTCGCCAGCCAGCTGGTGGCTGTCGGAGGCGGATGGATGCGACGAGAGGGGATGCATGGTAGTACCCTATCTGTCCCGATCGATCGGAATTGGCCCCGGTGGCCTCTTGTATCCGATGGCTATTGTGAGCTGGGGCTACCGCTGGTCGAGGCGGAAGCTGCCTTTCTCTTCGCATCGCACACGCTTCCGTGTTACATGCGTCCGAGGATCATCTCTGAGCATATACGTTATATGTGAGCTCTTTCCCTGATGACGCCTCACGGCTTCTGGGCTTATGCCGTTGAATCATAGTTGATGGTCCCCAGGGGTCGACGACGATCCCCATAGGTGTTGTTAGCCTTTATGCTCCTCATGGCTTCCCATACATCCTGATAATGTGCGTCCCATGTCGCCCATGATAATTACCTTTGCTCCCACCCATATATAGAATCCCACTTTATCCGTCCAGCGAACCGTGTCGCTCTTGACGAGGAGAGCCAGAGCTGTATAATTAATTTTGCCGTGTGACCGAGCGCACGCGGCGCCTGCTGCACCTCCCTTCGCCGCGTGCGGCACCCACAGTGGCAGGCACGCCTGATTGGCTGACACTTGCGTGCGCTAGCCGTTCGTGCAGAGTTCGAACACCTCACGGTCGAGCGGCCGTGGCGTCTGGCTGGACACCCCGGATCTGACAGTTAGTCTGACAGTTTCCATTGCCCCTGACAGCTGATGACGGGTTTGCTCAGATTTAGCCAATTTTCCAGTGGTGCTGGGGGTGAAGGCCCCACGGATTGCGTGGGGCATTACGTGTGATATGACAGCTGGGTCTGAAGGAATGATGAGCATTGAACCGAAATAACAAAAGCTGATTTTCGGTAATTCCTTTCAACGAAATGTACTCCTAATACAATGGAGATGTAGATAGACCCAGGTGCTGGAAATTGAAGACGAACAGCGACGAAATTACAACAACAAACTTGTACCGGCACTGCCCCCGCATTGTTACAGTTTTTATCAATGCCTCCGTCATCCGTGGTCCTCTCTGTTACCTATCAATAGCCGTGTGTCATGTAACTGTATATTTATAATGAACTGATCTACATTATGTGCATTACATATTTTGATAAGCTTTGTTATCGATCAATGATGCATATTCAATAAGTTTTTTTTTTTCGTTGCTTTAGATGTTTATGCTGAGATTGATAACTATTGGTTAGTTTCAATTGCCGATGTCCTCAGTAGATCTTGCCTACAAACTGGAACAAATAGTCCCGCGAAATTAGCCGATCATCGTCAGGTCATAATGGGCTATTTGTTTCGTCACACGATGCGTGTTTTTGCGAGCGGGTGTCGTCCGGTTGGGCGCCGTGAGTTGTCACGGTCTCGTGAACACCCCACGCTAATGGTCACGGTACGTTTCACTCAGACAGCCGCGGGATAGACAGGCATGGGCGGACACAGAGCTGGACGGACAGATGGGCAGAGGCAGACAACGGCGGCCATGAAAACCGCGATTGTGATCTGATTCACAAAAGCCCGTCATTAAAAGGTGGTTCTGAGGACAAGTGTCAAGATGATTAGGAAGCGAAAGCATCCGGTTGAAAGCTCTGTTGGCCTCTGACACTTTTGATGAGGCAGGTTTATAGGTACCTATTTGATGTTAATGCTAGACACCGTGAAGAGTGTCATGAATTTGAATTTCGAAGTGATATAATATAAAGAAGAACGTGTTACTCACGTATTGGCATCAGCGTGGACAGGCAGACGGTCTTCACGGTGTGCACGGATCCGTTCCAGCCGAATGTGACGTACGAGAAGCAGTACTCCTGGAAGCGCTCGGAGAACATGTCGCAGCGGAAGGACATGGCGCTCGTGTAGTCTGCCACCCTCATCTCGCCGACATAGTGTCGTGTGGTGGGCGGCACGGCCGATTCCACTGCGGCCCGCTCCACTCCCGCCACACGCACCATGCCCGAGACAGCCCCGCACTTGGGACGTCTGTAGTACACCTCGACACCCGACAGACACGGAAACACACTGGCACCGGTCTCTCCTCGAGCGTACAGCTTGAAAGTCCGGTTCCACTCGACTCGTGTCACGTTACTCCAAGCGATTAGCGAGCTGTCTGAAGAGTTAGTCACCAGCTGAAGCTGGAAGAAACCCTGTCTATCCAGACGATCGCACGGTATTCGAATGTCGTGTATCCTCGCGTAGAAGTGTTGCAGAGGAAAACGGTCCGTAACACTGCCTAGAAGAGGTTCGGAGACGGCGACATTTCCCTCCTCCCAACCCCTCCTGGACACTACCAGCTGCGCCGAGACTGACAGCTGACTCTTTGACCTCGCCGCGCACAGTCCCTTGAACTTCCGCACATGGGCCACCACGGAAGTGTGCGTCTCGGCCCGCGAAGGTAGGGTGACGAGTATCGGCGGCCAGCGGACGAACAGCGGCGCACTGAAGGCGAGGAGTCGACCGCTTGTCAGTAGTAGCGCCGAGTATCGTCCACCCAGCTCCACGTAGTCACAGAGGAACGTAGCGGACAGCGGTGGCACCGGTTTGGATGACGGCTTCGGTGGCGGCACCGGCTGCGTGCTGACAATCTCTCCTGAGGCGATGTGCTGTAGAGAGACACTGAGGGCGGCCAGCTGCTCCGCCAGAGGCGTGGTGCTGGCACTGGAACATAAAAAGAAACATGGTGATTAGTGGATGCAGTATTCTTTGTCACCAAAAGGCCATAACTAAACAAGTTTGTGTAGATAATGTTTGATTCAAGTTCAGTGTGGTTGAATCCACATACTATCTATAGTAAGGTCTAAGCAGGCAATACTAGAATAGATACCCGTATTCGGATTTGCACACATATCAATATGCTCCCTGGACGGCTTACGCCACGTCTGCCCAACAATCAAGCCCGTCAATTTAGAGCGTGTCGCGGCTGTGTTGGAGCGGTCGGCACTAACGGAGCTGCAGAATGGGTCCACAGCTACCGGCCGTTGGCCGTCAGCGGTGCAGTTCTCAGATATATACGACCCTGCTGGGTACCCACGAGTCGCACGTCGCACGCGACCCCAAGACCACAGAAAGGATCGATTGAAGACGGTCGCCGAGTACGTTGCACAGACGGCGGGGCTAGTCGATAGCAGTTCGAGGGTTCGATCAATATGATCAATAGCATGCGCACTGCACAGTGAACAGCATGGATGTTGAACGACGAGCCTTCTATTTTGGATTTATATTTATCTTTCATTTTAAATTGTTTTACTGCATCAATAAAAGGTTCCCAAATCTGGGACCATTTTCTCACCCGATTTCCGAGGTCCTCAGTGTCCATTTGATCAGCACAGTGATGTTGCTTTGCAGGGCGGTGGCGGTGCCTCGCTGAAACTCCACACTAAACACTGCCACGGTTCCGGTGTCCTGAACCGTCTCCTCCACGTCTCCTGACGATTCCAGGCCGTCTCCTGACGTCTCCTGCCAGTCGTCCAGTGTTCCTGACTCGTCTTCTGTTGTCCCCAGAGGATCTTTCATGCGTTCCAGGTCGTATTTTGGAACATCGATCGAGCGTCGAACGGCAGCATCGCCTGTAAAAACACAGCACAAAAATAGATCGGGGCTTATTTAAAGGCACGTCACAATGCTATGCGTACCTACTCCTGGAAACAGAATTGTGAACCATTGAGATACTATGTATTCGCACCAGCATTTGTATTAAAATATTCGTACCATTATCTACGAAAACTTTGATTTGTTACTTTTTATTGGGTGTTCAGGGGCACGCTCACTGAACAGTGGTAAAGCTAATGACTAACTGAACTGTGGACTGACTGTATGGAGGCTACATCCTCAATGCTCAGGGTGCAATTGAGCGTCCACTGTGGACGGTGTAGCTACAGTTTCCACGAACACTTCTGCGCTATGGAGTGGGCTACCGGCTATATGACTTATCGAACCGTCCAGAATCCTCCACTGCAAGTGCAACACTTTACTAATTACTCCTGTCAGCGTCAGCTGGACAAGCCTTATAGCAAGTGACCGTACTTGCATCGTTAAGGTCCGTGCTATACCAATGTGTGGAAAGTGTCTATATCTGTGTTGGTAAGCCTCCATACTCCATACCTACCTGTGCGAGTGGCGTACAGAATAGCCATGGACAGTATCAGGAGGCTCCTGAGGTCCATTGAGCACCCTCGACGTGCCGCCACTCCTCATCCAGGCATCCGACCTGCAACGGAACACAGCCGATTGACACAGTCATCATCAAACCATACCGGGCTGCCAGTGACAATAATACGCTGTCCGACACAAATATTGACATACACGGTTGTCGACAAAGCTGGCGCGACGGCCCGGAACTTGCGGCTCTCCCACGAGACGTAGCCGGCAATAGCGACGACGGGCGCGACGCGACCGCTTCCCCTACTGACAATGGGACGCCAATATTGACGGACGACGGCGGCCCGGACCGCGGCCTTGTGTGTCACGAAATCGTCGCCGCCGGCGGTCGAGGGGTGCCGTGTAGCGGCGGCGTCGGGTCGGGGTAGGCTGATCGATTCCAAGTCACCAGGTGGTAGGGTCTAAGGTGCAGGGACTGGTCGGCCCTCGTGACACCCGGGGACATCGCTTGGGACACACAAAGAGTTCGCTGGTGCCCTTAGTTCGATGGGGAGGGGGGTCGTTATAAAAACGCGACAGGTTGTGGTGGGTGGAGTGTGAAGAGTCTTTGTGTTGGAGTTTCAAGTTGTTCGCGCTTCGTAAATTAATTTCGGCTGATGTCGCCAGCTGCGGGAACCGGGAGGTGATGAGTGGTCTGTCCGCGATGCATAATTCAAACACCACATCCGGTCTGCCTGAGGTCGATGTATATAGCCGGGATTCCAAGAAATCAACCATAGATATTATTATCGAACGTCTGCTTTAGCAGTGACGGACGACGGACATACTCAAAGGTTGTTCGTTGAATGAAGCGATACTAGCAAAGTAATAAAAAAATGTCCGTAAAAGAGAAGGAACAATACGATGCGTGTTCGGAACCCGTTTTGCTCTATACCATAAGTTACGCTCTATCGAGCTAATCGTTAGCTCGAACCTGCTGCGCAGGCTTCATTCAGACGCCTACCAATGTAATGCGGCACAATCTGCATCCAGGCGTTTATCAATGCATTGCGGCACAGCCTGCATACAGGCGTGACATATTATAGTGCATGTATGGCCTAAACTTTTGAATTCATTTTAAAAGGGGAAAAACGCAAGAAATTACCCAACGTTTCGCATTTATTGCTTAGTCATGGGTCTTTAGAGTGCGATTGCACTCTATCGCACTCTAAAGACCCATGACTAAGCAATAAATGCGAAACGTTGGGTAATTTCTTGCGTTTTTCCCCTTTTAAAATGAATTCAAAAGTTAAGGCCATACATGCACTATAATATGTCACATCTGTCAATTGATAATCCTCTGCATACAGGCGTTTAGCGATGTCATGCGGCACAGCCTGCATACAGGCGTTTATCGATGTAATGCGGCACAGCCTACATTCAGGCGCTTGTCACTAGTGCCATCTACGGGCAGTAATATAAGCTGATGCGCTAATATGACATTGTGTGCACCGCCGAACCTTGAAACAAAAGGTATTTGTGTGTGAAGGAGATGGAATATGGCACTTAGGAATACCACCCACATTATTTTGTCACACATTTTGAAAATACAAACAAGAAATGAAGACATGATTCCACCGCCGGCAAACGGCAGGCAGTCATTGATTGCCTGCTTCGGACGGGCCATAGGTAATCAGTTAGTCCTAATTGATAAAATATATTTTTCGTGTGCATATTTGCAGGAAGATTACGATATATTTTACTAAACTTTTCAAATTTTACTTAATGCATGCATATCAGGACATGAACACATTTGTCATAGGTTTTCCAGTTGTCGGCGTACATACATGTTATGCGTTCATTGACCTACCTACCATTTCCTGCCTCAGCAAACCACAGCGTACACAAAACGCACAGTCATTTGTAACCTCGCAATACTAAATGAGCTCGTACCGTTTTTGTGACAATCGACATACCCCGCGTGTGATACGAAGCACGTACTAATGGCAACACATTACGGTGACCGGCCGTCCAGGGACCCTGCCCGATTAGCATGTCAGATTCGCGTTCTTGTTCTATTAGCTGCCGGTCGATGTACGGACAGGACACGATGTCGGCAGATTGGCAGGGGAGCAGCGATCGATCTGGGCACACCATCAGCTGTTGCGCTGATCGCTGTGACCAGTGATGACAGTTTCTGAGCATCGCTGATGATTGTTTCTGACCACCGCAGCTGCTGATGAGTTTCCGACTAGCGTTGTTTGCCGCTAATCGATGATGATCGGTGGGGGTGACGCCACTAACTATGCTACAGCTTGTGTAGCTTGTGTAGCTTGTGTAGCTTGTGTTATTTCCTTTGGTGTTTGGTTGCAAACGCGCAATATTAATTGCTGAGTACCGTCAGACTCTAGATAGGCAATGGTAAGTGATGTGCATAACTGGTGTGATGTTACTGAATATTCTTTTCACACTTGCCTTGTTTGTAAAATGGTATAAACTAGGGTTACCCGCGTGCTCCGCAACGCGAAGAAGGGCTGTTTTTGACCCGTGGGTATTGGATTGGTCTGTGTCGATTTGGTTGGTATCCATTTCGTTCGATTGCTTTTTGACGGCCAAGCATTTTGTAATAAAACAAAAAAGATACATCGCATCGAGGTGCCCGTGTCGTATTATCATGCGTTCTACTTAAGAATGATTCGAAAACTGGCATGAAGTCTTTTGAGGGCCATCGATGAATTTCGCTAAAAATGACAATGTAATGGTTTGGAACATTTACATTTTTAAGGATACTGTTGCTAATCATGCAAAAATGAAGAGTGAATATTGGACAGAATTGAATGCTCTTTCCAACGGTGCCATTTTCAATTGCCAAACGTATCAGGTTATGCAGCAAAACCCGTGTAATTAATAAAGTGGCACATCATCGACAAACACCATTTTCTCTAGCGATTTGTACCACCTTGGCGTCGATCAATTAGCTATTCACAATTTTTATATGAGAGGCGGTACCTTTCTCTTGCAAATAGGCGTTGATTCAACTCGCTCCATTTAACGGTCACCTAAAAATAAAATTAATTCCAAAATCCCTCAAAAACCGCAATTTTTCAAATAAAAGTGCCATCTCCGGTGCACGTGGCGCGTGCTATCCTCTGCATTGCACACCATTCAATAGCCCGTTCAATTCTGTACACGATGCTGTTTTCCCCGTGCCGGTCGGACCCCTGGTCACCAAGATATGGCACCGAGACCGGACCCGTGTCGGGCAAATTCGGCTGTTTTCGCCCGATTCCGCACGCCGATTTATACATGTAAAGTCTATGACGCGAATTTGCACTTTTTGAGCACGCGCCACGCGCCCCCTATCAATCCGATCGAGCCCAGACCCCTCAAAGGCACGTCGCGCATCCTTGATCTATAAGTTGTGCAAATTTCACCGCGCTAGGTGCAACGGTCTGGCCTGTAGTCCACGCAAAGCACGACCAAGTCGGGACCTCGGTAACGGACAGACGCACCCTCCTCAAATAGTAATATAGACAAGCGGCTGCGCCACTTGCTTTGCTGCGTGGTAGGAAAAATTGCGGCACCAGCCAATTTGCTTTCGAATGGTGTTTGATTCATGTCGATGTGTCGTCTAGAAGCATAGATATGGACGGAAATGTGAAGAGAATTTAAAAAAGAACTGTTCTGAGGGCGTTGTTGGATGAAATTTGGCTGATACGGGGTCAATACGGGTCAAAGGGGTCAGCCCCGGTCACTTTGGGTCAGGCCAGGTCACATAGGTCACCTCTCGTCCGCTGGGATCAGCCCGGGCCACTGTTCTGCTTTTGTCTCCACCACTACCCCTTCCCCTACCACTACCCCTACCCTACCACTACCCCTACCCCTACCCCTGTCCCCTACCACTACCCCTACCACTACCCCTACCACTACCCCTACCACTACCCCTACCCCTACCACTACATCTACCCCTACCACTACTACTACCCATACCACTACCCCTACCACTACCCCTACCACTACCCCTACCACTACCCCTACCACTACCCCTACTACTACCCCTACCACTACCCCTACCACTACCCTTACCACTACACTACCCCTACCACTACCCCTACCACTACCCCTACCCCTACTCCTACCAACACCGCTGGGTCATGTCAGGTCACAGAATAATTCGTGCCATTCCATTGCCCTTACTCGATTTTGTCGGAAATGGCGCTTTGTGGCAAATGTGGCGCATTGCGGCAAATGCGGCGCATCTGTACCTGTTGTTTGAGCATGCATCTTGACACCAAATTACACCCATATCGGACTATATTTGACAAAACTGTGCGAGTTGCGGCGAAAATGACGCCCTGAGATAATTGTGGCGCATTGCGGCAAACGCGGTGCATTTGTAAACTCGTATCACAAACTGTTGCCATTCAACGAAAATCTACACAATCTCTCGCCACTATTTATTCAAATTAAAACTTGCCCATCCGCCAATGCGAGGTACTCGCCGCCGATCGGCATGCATTTAGTCCCCAAAGTTTGTCGACCCCGGCTCTCAATGAAGATCTACGAACCGATCAAAATTTCATTGGCGTTCTTCCAGCGCGCCCCACGCGCGAACCGTGCACCCCAGCGAGTCGGAACCTAGAAAAGGCGCTGACCCGGTCTATCACCTATAAGGTGTGCAAATTTCAACCCCCTACGATATACCGTCTGCCCTGTAGGCGAGTGGAATTGAACCCACTACCCATCCAGGATGATGCGCCTGGATATATTGCAGACGGTGCGAACTGCAATATATTGGGGAGACCAAGTGCGGACAGACAAACAGACGGATCCTGTTCAAATAGTAATATAGACAAGCGGCTGCGCCACTTGCTTTGCTGCGTGGTAGGAAAAATTGCGGCACCAGCCAATTTGCTTTCGAATGGTGTTCGTTTCAAATCGATGTCTTCGCTAGAAGCATAGATATGGACGGAAATGTGAAGAGAATTAAAAAAGAGCTGTTCTGGGGGCTTTGTTGGATGAAATTTGGCTGATACGGGGTCAAGACGGGCCGAAGGGGTCAGCCCCGGTCACTTTGGGTCAGGCCAGGTCACATAGGTCACCTCTCGTCCGATGGGATCAGCCCGGGCC